GGGCTTTTCATCACACAATTGCTCCAGCGGCCAGGTTGTCCTCCCTCGCCAGAACATGAAGCCGGAGCAAGGACAGAGAAACAAGCTGTGTTCCTCACGGCCTTGAGCTGTGTGAAAGGCAGCTGCTGGGTTTGGAAAGGGTGTCCGGCTCTGCACCATGCTACATGGGCAGAGGGTACCCCTCACCGGGGGTGGGCCCTCATCGGGGTTGGGCAGTTGGCTTGTCTCAATGTTGGGTTCAATGCAGACTATGGACTCACCCAGCCCTGCCACCTTCCTTCTGACAAAACCAGAAAAGCACAAAAAGTACCATCCACAAGCCCTGTTGGTTAACCAGGCCTCAGATGGCAGACGACTCCACCTCTGGGTGTGAGAACCAAGGGCGACATCTGTCACTGTCTTGGCTGCCCACGCCTCTCAATGCAAACAGGACTACTGAGCAAGCACATTGAAGGTGTTAACAGGAGGTACAGCACGTGAAGGACACACTCGTTCCCCATGAGGACACATGAAAGCTATGACCCCCAGAGGTTGCTTCCTGCCGCAGATTTAACAAAGGCCCGGCCTGCTAAGGCCAGGGGTTTGCTACCTACTACGAAGCCTTTATTTGAACAGACTACCCACTGAGAAACCCCGAGGCTGCAGATTTGTTACATCGCCCTGCACAACCTTGAGGGGTTGAAACCAGAGGCCGCACTCCATGTCAGGCCATGCAGGGAGCACATGACAGACAGACATATTCTAATACAGACCCAGCACTGTGCTCACACACCAGCAAAAACATTTAAAGAAGAATGGTTCATTTACTCGAGGATTGTGCTTCCCAGAGAGCTGAAAGGAGAGACATACAGTTGAGAACAAATCTTATTCTCATGAAGCTCACTTCCCGAGACAGCTCGGACGCGATGCTCAGGCTCAAGCGCTGGGGTCTTCCGTTCCCAGGGCAGGCCTGCTCCACCCCACTCAGGGGGTTGTTGTGCAGACAAGGCCACTGACAGGCAAACAGAATGATAAAGAGGGCAAGTCATCGATGGTGGCATGGGGGGCTGGGGGGCAGGGGAGAGCCAAGGGTCTCGCCAGCAATCAAATGAGACTCCTGTCTGCAGTCAGTAAAAGCAAGGAAAGCCATCTAAGGTCCACCAAGCAATGAGCTCCCTTCTCGACGTCAGGTCAATTATGCAATGGTTTCTCCTAGTGGTGAGATTGACGTTTCAGTGTCAACCTCAGGGAGGGAGGGAGGGAGTCTCCTTCAGCTCTCTCTCCAGTTCCTTCAGGCTGCTCTTCAGGCTCGTGCTTGGCAGGTGGAATCAACCATGACCAGGGACCATGGCTGTTTGACGACTGTCTTGTGGGGAAGGATGCTGACAGCCGTGGTTTGGGGATGCCCCACTGCAGTCTTGAGAGAGAAGCCACTCCCTTAGCCGAGCGTGGAGGACAAACGTCTATGTGTGTCAGTCAGCACCGGAGGAAGAGTGGGAAAAAAGGTTGTGTTTACTTGGATAGGGTATGAAAACCACAGCTGTTGCTGGGGATGTTCCACATCTGCGCACAGTGCTCTCCCCGTCCCACAGTACACAAGAGGGCGCCCGAACCATTCAATGTTCTGTGACACCAGAGTAATGCTCTTTTCCTCTGCGCAAAGGGGGATATAGTCACCCGCAATCTCCAAGCCCTGCGGGCTGGGGGAGGTGGGGCAGGGGTGGTGCTCTCCTGGAACATTAAATGCAAGCTATGGGGGAGACACCTCTAGTTGCAATGATGGGGGCCCCTATCTTTTAGTGCAACCCATAGTCAGTGCTGCCTTACTTTGTGAGCACCTGAGACCACACAGGAGGGTAATGCTGGATGCCAAAAGCCCCGGGTGCTTGGCAGTCCCAAAGGGGCGTGAGGCTGGCCTACTGCACTTGCCAGGCACGCCCTCTTGGGCAGTAGCTTCTGTCCTGGAGCACACGTCTTGGGAGACTTGGCTAGAGGGACACACACAGCTCGGGTTAAACTGCACAGCGACATTTATTGTTCCAGCCTGGAAAACATCCCTTTTGTAAATTTCACACAGCAAAGCAAGTTAAAAACTTCACTCGTCAAATAAATGATAATTTAAACAAGAACTTGCTAAAGGAACCTCATGACAACAACGTTTTAGGGCCTGATCACTTAAGTCCATGGGGCCATCAATGGATCTCAACCAAGTGTCTCCTCTGCAATCGGCAAGTCGTTCTCCTACAAGACGGCGTAAGTAGCTTGTTTCCCTGACTCGATGACAGCGCTTAGGAAAGAGCCGTGGTGGTGGTTTTGTCTCTTTTGCTGTAGCAGGCAGACCGGCTCCGGCTGGGATCAGGACAGGTGGAAGGACTGCTGCCCTTCCCTAGCTGCGATGAGCAGTTTTTCGCGCATGATCTCAATGCTCGAATAGTCTGGCAGCTTCAGATAGTTCACACACGTCATCACCGAGGGCAGGAAGTCATCAGGGTTCTCTGTGGACTCGAACGTCTTCCGGACAATCGTTAGTGGTGGATTCAAACTCCGGAAGCCTGAAGGTGGGGAGAGGCAGACAGACGGGGGGGGGGGGGGGGATGAGTGTACGGGGCACACACCATCTGCTCCCCTAGGAGACGTGCTCTAGCTCCCAGGCCTCGGTCCATAATCCCAGGCACAGCATTATGGTGTGGCTACTCTCCGAAAACGGCTACTGGTTTTGCTGTACATATCCCCCCCTCCCCCCGGAAGGGAGGTTCTCTCGCTTTCCCCTGGCTGACAACACAGCCCAGCCAAGTCACATGAGTTCCCCAAAGGGCACTCACCTCCAACAGGTAATCGGGGGCTGCCGGTCACAAACTGCAGAAACAGCCGCTGCTGCTCGTTGTCAAAGCCGCTAAGGGTCTCAAACAAGAACTTCACAGCTCGGCTGCAACACAAGCAAACACCAGAATTACTCCCTCACGGCAAAATCCCGTTTATACAAAACCAGGCTGCTGCGCCCTGCCGCCTGAACACCCCCCAACACCCCCCACCCCTCACCCCACCGACTCACAGTTAGGTAGAGGAAGATGCCTTGTGGCCCCCGCCCCTCCCTTCCTCCAGGTTGTTACAGATGGAATGCAGTGCAAATAGAAAGTGGACCCCCCACTACGGTCGAGAAGAAGACCTGGCTTGGGCCAGCACTCTCCTGTACCCCGTCCTCTACATGCCTCCCCAGTGCCACCAAGCTTCAGGGAAGTAAGCGCCCTATAGGAACCAGGCCAATTTTAAAATGCAACCCTCACACCACTTTTGTTATTTAAAACACGTAAGGATAAGCCAAGAAGTACTGCTACCCAAAATCCATGGACACCTTCATTTAAAAACGTCAAACATGAAGTTCATTTCTCATTGCATTCTCTGAAGGTGGTTATTTCCATCTACAGCTGCCCCCCACCCCACCCCACCCTGCCCCCAAGAGCCGTGCATGCTCTGACTCACACTTCATCAAAACAGCTGGGCGCCCGATGCCCTAAGGGGCAGCTCGGGCTCCTCTGAGACGGGGCATTTGGGTAACAGAAAGAAGCCTGGAAGGACAAGCTCAGGGTGGTGGGCTCCATGGGGCCAGGTTCCCAATGACATTCTCATAGGACAACCTTGGTGTCCTGAAAGAATGAGCACATGCACTGCTGGGATGGACAGAGGTCTTTGGTGCAACACTCCTGGTCTTTGTGCCACCAAGGTTGTTTTCGATGTTCTTCACACTTCTGCACAGTAAGTTCTCAGGATCACCTCAGTCCTTGGGGAAAATCCACCAGGAGGATGGCTTCAGAGTCCTAACCCATCATCATACGCTTCTGAGCTGTCCTCTCATTCTTGGATTCCCTGGCCAGCTGTTTCCTTCAGAAGCCCCTGTTCTGATGAGCTTTCTCTGGGGAAGACCCACTAAGAAGACTAAGGGCAGGTGTGAGACTCAGTTTGTCTGCAGCCATCCACTGATCCCACAGACATCTTTAAACACATCTGGTTTGGAATAAACCCGGGCAGGTGTGAACTGGAACCCTAGTGGCAGTACGTTTTGATGCATTCCCACGAGCAGCCCCCCCACCCCACCCCCAACACCTGGACTGTACCACAAAACCCAGCATGTACCTGTCATGGGTGTAACCGTGATCTGGCCGACAGCACTCCATCAACGTCTTGGCATCCCAAGTGTCTGCTTTACTGCCACACAGGAGCTGATCCAGCTGTGTGGGGACAATGGCAGAGTCAGGAGGACAGTGCCTGTGCCCCTGGGTGCACACACGACTTGTCCATTTCTGACCAGGCCGCTCCTCCATGCCCACCGCCACATCCATGTCCCCAGGAGCAGCGTCATTTCTGGGGCCCAAACATCTGCACCTAGTCTCTTTCCTTGGCATGCACTCCTGGTGCACACAGCGAGCTGCTCGTGGCCAGACAGACCCCAGTATCAGCTTTCTACTTCATCTGCTCAAGTCCTGGATGTTCCACTTGCCAGCATGCTAAGCAGTGGAAGCTGACTCCCTGCCCAAGTGTGAAATGACAGCATCCTGAGAAAGGCCCGTTCTGGGCAAATGGAAGGTGCTATCCACTGGTGGCTGGTGTGCATGTGCGGTCTAAAGATATCAAATTGGAATGGGCATAAAGGCCACACAGCCAGGTGCTGCTGATGCGGTGATGGGGTGGGGGCAGAAAGGGAGCACTGGATTCTATCCCAGGAGGAGGCCCTGCGACTGGCAACTCAATTCAACATACATTCAGCGAGCGCCCTAAAGGGCCAGGCCCGCATAGGGTCGAAAGAAAGAGCAAAGATAAAGGCTAATGTTCAAGAGGTTCCCCACACCTGGTGGAACCCCAATGTCTAGCGCTGCTGCTCCGCACCTCTGTGACACCGCACCCCAGGGACTACTTTCTAGGGACTTCTGGTGCCCTCTGGACAGAGGCAGGGGGACAAAGAGGCACAGAGCACAGTGCTCCGTCTTCCCACTGCGCAGTCGGCAGGCCACTTGCAGTCCAGGACGGAAATTATGTGCTCTGGAAATCTTCCCCGAGCTTGAAATCAAAACTTTAAAAACAAAGTAGCAGCCCCGCAGATTTCTCCTATCACTGGGACTGGCAAAAGCGGCCAAGCATGGCTTTGAGGTCCAGAGATACAGAGCCGACAGAGATGCTCAGCGAGAGGGAGCCATCCACAATGTCCCCTGAGTAGCCAATGGGCCCGCCCCACCGCAGATCCACTCTACCCCACCAGCTTCGGTTTTGACCTGACGACAGGAGCTACTCACTTCCTCTGGGTAGAAGTACTGCAGGTGACTGAGTGGGAAGACAGATTCAAACCCATCTCGAAATGAGTCAAACTGCCTGGAGACGCCTTCATTCAATGCCCAGAATATAACCAGCTGCAAAAAGAAATGTGTTTTAGAAACAGTGGCAAGATTTCAAATCTTTCTGCTCAATCATGTGTGGGGAAGCACACATAGCCAGGCATCCTTCTGGGTCAAAAAAAGCACCATTGTCTTTAAAGTATTTCCGAGGAAACGGCACAAACAACATGCCAGGTCAATTTCTAATTTGGCTCCAGTCCAATAAGAAAATGCACTAAAAAATGTTCTGTGCATTGGCATCGAGTAGGTTTTAAAAGTTTGCGATGTGAAACCCCTACAGCAGTTAGGGCACTGTATCACTTTAGCCAGATGAGAGGTCAAGGGAGCCCTCTCTTAGAGGAGAGGGTGGAGAAATAATGTTTCAAGGCTGACAATTACCCACGTGGAGGGCTTTTCACTTGAAAATGAAATAGTTCATCCTAGATCCTGCTTTGCTCTTAGGACCAATAAGTTCCTGCAGCATGTGTGTCTCTACTTAGAAAAATCCAGACATACAGTTACATGGAAACAAGCATGGGACTCTAATTGGCTCACCGTGATTCACTAATGACCAAGCCCTCAGGTATAGACCCTAACAAAGAACATAAATGGAGAAAAATGACACCACCAGTGTTTGGTTGCTAGAAAACCAATTGTTAGCGGTAACTTCCTGCAGCCCCTTCACCTGCAACTGAGCCCCTTGTTCCCTAGTGGGCTAGAGAGCAGGGCTGTGGTCAGAGAAGGCAGCGGGCTGCATGAGAGGACATGTACTGCCGAGCAGATGGACATGTACTTCAGTGAGAACAGAAGTGAGACCTCCCTTCTCCCTACTTCTCTTTTTCAACGAAAAACACGTAACCAGTATTTGCTGGCTACCATTTCAGCTTGAGGGTAGAGAATGAAAGATTCATGAACATCTGCTAAGCTCTTCTCAGAAGAACTAGGTGCTAAGGCCTGAGTTAGTGGACTTTCAGTAGGTGGCGTTATGGTCTCTACTGGACACAAGCCAGCACTTCCTGGGCTTTTCCACTCCCCTCCCTGGAAGTGGCCGTCTGTTCACGTACTCTGAGATACTCCTCTAAATTGTAGATGGTGACGGGGGTGTCCTTTCCGCCTTTCTTCAGCTCGATGTTGGGAAACCCTGGGAGAGTGAAATCCAATCCTAGGTCTTCCACTGAGCAGCCGTTCATAGTCAGGGTTTCTAACGCGTACTGGAGACTCTCTTTGGTCTGCAAATACAAAAGAGGGCCAAGGTCAAGCTTGGTGATTCACTTGGGCTTGATTCCTAGTCAGTGCTACAGGTTCCTCAAGTCCTTAGTGGATTTCTTGCCACCATCTCATGGACACACCATGTCACCACTACAATCTCGGGATGGCATCTTCAGCACCTCAGAACCCCATGATGTCCCCAGATGAGAGCCCTTATTTCCTTCACCCAGTGCACGATAAAGTTTTAAATAAACAGAAAACTACAAAAATACTTAAAAGAGAGAGACAAAGAGAGAGAGAGAGAGAGAGAAGGAAAGAAGGCTCGGGCAATTGTTCAAGGGAGGGACGGGGCACTTTGGGTTCCTCCTTGTGAGAAGTGCAGACTAGCTAGCCCAAGCCCCAGTCTCCACTCCCAAGTCCATGCATTAGACAGTGGTTAATTTTAAGAGCCTGGGGGCTATAAACTTCTCGTGAAAGAAGAATCTGATACACGTGTACTTACATACATGTGTTAAGTTGTTAAACCCTGAGCAACACAGCGCACTGAGCGTGTCCATATGTAATGGTCCTAATGAACTTTTCCCACTACCACACAGATCAAGTCTCAGAACCCCCTGGAGACCTTCCTTCCCGCTAGCTCTCCCACAGCAACAGGGAGGAGTCCTGAGAAAAGTGCAACCTCCTTCTATAGGTAAAGGTGGCTAGAAGAAGGCTGCCATATCCCCCCTTTAAATGCAAGGCCTAGAGCAGTGGTTCTCAACCTTCCTAATGCCGCGACCCTTTCATACAGTTCCTCATGTTGTGGTGACCCCCTAACCAAAACATCATTTTTGTTGCTACTTCATAACTGTAATTTTGCTATGTTATGAATTGGGCGACCCCTGTGAAAGGGCTGTTCGACTCCCCAAAGGGGTCACGACCCACAGGTTGAGAACCGCTGGCCTAGATGAAAGCTGACTTGTTTGACAAACAATCTAAGATCCACAGGCAAAGCAACAAACTCTGTGAATGGACGTGCCTCTGTCTGAAATGCTACAAACCCAGAGTTCCTGCAGGGAAGCCATCATGGTGCAGAAAACATCACTTAGACCAGGAACACTTCAGAAGCTGATTCAGTCAGACCTACAGGGAAGTTCTACCCTGTCCTGTAGGGTCGCTCCAAGTCAGAACGGAGTCTATGGCAGTGACCCTGGTTTATTTTTTTTACTGCTATCACTGAGGAAATCGATCACAGGCTACAGTTATTATCATTCAACAAAAATGATACTCTCCTTCAATAGAAATATGGATGTAAAAATCCTTGGTTCACATACAAATCATTTCACAAGACCGAAGTCCCTGACAACTGCTTTGTCTGGTAGGTCCCTGGTCCTCAGAGCCCACCTGGGATTGATCTCGTTCCAGTCTCTTCTTCTGTCTGACAATGTCTTCGAGGTGATACACTGATCGGGCTACAACTGGGTCGATATCGAACAGGTCGTGTGACGTCAGTGAAGTTTCTTGTCGCAGCATCCACTTATAAAAGGGCAGGCCAAGGGGGAGGTCCACCTGGAGGGGAAGCACAGGGAACGGTTACAGGCTCACAGAGCCGGAGCGCCTCAGTCCAACAAAAGACTGCATGAGTTCCCTCAGAAAGACCCAGGTTTCTTGGTCTTTTGGAAGGAGAAAAAATAAACGATGCACCGGGGAACTGCCTCTCACACTCAAAACTGATGATCCCCCAATTCCACTTAAGTTCAGCTACTGTAAGGAATTTAGAATACTTCAGAATCCCATTTAAGCCCTGGCTCGAAAGAGACATGTTTCCATGGTGCAGTCACATGCTCTCCACAATCCACTTTCCACGGGGGCCTAAAGCACCAAGTGTTCATGGTCTGTATCACTACTCCACCAGTGTGAGTGAGAGTCAAAACACACTCAGGTAAAAAAAAACAACAACAAAAAAAACACACTCAGGTCATCCCAGTCGGTACCATGGTAACTGATGATCCTCTTTCCAACAGGAATTGGAACGTCTAAAATCACGGATAAATGGCCCACTTTCGGATGAAAGAGGAACTGCAACTTTGTGGGCATGGCATGCGAGGACACGGGCTCACAGGGGAAGAGGAGCGGAAGGCAGGCACAGCTCTGTGCACACTGAGCCCGCGAGGGAACTTACGACTCTAGCTCTCCCAACGGAAAGGTACCGTGGCTTCCCTACCTGCGCCGGCTTTCCGAGTGAAACGTTCGATGGTAAACACTTTCTCTGGAACCCTGCTACCTTAGGTGTGGCCCACCAACTGGCAAATAGGTGGGCATCACCCCAGAACTGGTATGAAACTCTGGAGCTCTGGGCCTCACTCAGGCCTATTGACTCCAAATGAGAATCTTTCATTGCTTTGTGTGACGTCTGAGAAGCACTGGTTCCTTTGCAACTGTCACGAAGCCCCAACTCACCAATCTGAAATCCATGATCGCCTTGGCCATTAATTTTCCCAGAAAGCGAAACTTCATCTTAACCTTTGCGATATGAGCTGGCTTGGCTGTCCGACCAAAGGGGAGTGCAAACAGGCCCTGGAGGTTTTGAATATACTTGGTCCCTTCTTGGCTTCCTGTAAAGCGAGCAAAGGCATCCAACTTTAGATGGCACTTCCCCAAAGCAAAAACTGGGAACCAAGAGCGCTTAGGAAATTCACTGCCATCAAGTTGATGGTGACACAAAGTGACACTACAGGACAGTGTAGAATTGCCCCTGTGAGCTCCCAAGACTGTAACTCTTCACGGAAGTAGAAAGCCAGTATTCTCATAATCCGAAAGATCAGGACATGAAATTGAATAGAGCTGGAAAACAAAACAAATAGCCAAACCCACCGCCACTGAATTGGTTCTGACCCCCCAGGGCCAAACAGAACAGCACCCCAGGTTTCTGAGGTAGTAAGTCTTTGTGGGCACAGACTGCCTCACTTTTCTGTGAGCAGACTGCAAACCCTGTGGTTCACTTAAAGAGGGTGCCTTGGAGCTGGGGGTTCATCTCCCTTCTTTTAAAATATGAAATAGAGGGTATAAGAAATTAAGGGACTGACAGCAGACACCCCAGCCCCTCTTCTCTAGGATGCTGCTGTGTGCCACCATCTAGTCAGACCCACTGGGCTCCCAGGGACCCCGTGCCCAGCAGCAACAACCACCTCTTCCTTCCATGCCATCCCTGCGACTGGCCGCCGTCTGTGTCCACCGATGCCTGGAAGCCCTGCAGAGCCGTGCTCAGCATTAAGCAACCCAGAAGCCGCCCGGACAGTAGCAGCTGCACGTGAGATGCACGGGCCACGTGGAAGGGCACCAATGCCCTGGCTTGGAACGCATAGGAACTAAATGGGCTGCAAGGTCTGTGTGATATTTGATCTGAACAACAGCTGATGGTCTCCCAAAGCAGAGTTACCTTTTGGATTGCTAAGAGTCACTTCTTCCCCTCTCCAGAGACCCAAGTCAGCCCTCTGTAGTTCCTGAGATACAAGTGCATAAAATTCCAGTGTAGGCCCAAGACCTGTGCCAACCTAAGAGAACGAGAGTAGAACAAGGTCACGGCTTGAATCTGCAGTGCCACGTGTGGGCCTTGCACACCTTTTGACAGTTTGAACAGCACCTGGCTCCCGGGGCCTGCTACCCAGTCTTGCACACAGGGTCCTGACAGGGTTCGCTCTACAGCAACTAGTTATTTTTGGTTACCGGTCAGCAGACCCACCTTTTCCAAGCTGGTAGCCAACAGGGAAAAGCCCCGAGTGCTGCCTGGAGAACAGTGTTTGGCCTCCCCCCTGCCTGTCACTCTTTGGTGAGTGGTGACCTTAAAACTAGCTCACAGGTCACCACCTCAAAGAAGCCTCCTGCCTGCCTCACTGGTTTGTTTTTTAAAAGGCGCTCACACTTCACGACTTAAAGTACTTCCATGCCCCTCCATCTCTTGTAGTGCCTGGCACATACCCCAAACCCCCCACCACTGCGAGTGTGTTGCGATTCAGAGCCTCGAGGATGGAGCAGAACAAACTCAGTTTCCGAGACTGTAAATCTTAATGCCTTCTTCCTCCCAAGGAGCGGTGGGCCTGTGGAAAGTGCCCACCTCTCTGTTAGCAGTCCAATGCCTGACCCGCACGTGCACACATGAAGAGGGCACCAGCAAGCTTATGGAAGAATGCCAGACTCTCTGCGCTCCATTTTCCCAAGAAGTTTTTAACTTGCCTTGCAGGAACAGTCACTTAGCAGAACTGTGAATAAGCTATGCACGAGGAAAGGGAGGGCCCAGGCTGGCATTCTCAGGCTCCCTCAGCCGTGTGAGACACCCTTGTTTGACTACTATCCTAGTTACTCCTACAGCTAGCCCGTGATAGTTTATAAGCCACGTTGTGGTCCACTACACGTGTAACTCTGACTTGCAAAATCACAAGCACCTTCTATCTGGGGATGTCCTGACAACCCCATCTCTATAGTAGTCTGCACCCCAGGAAATGGCAACCTCCCCATCCAGGGTGAGCAACCCTTCCCCAAACCGTCCAGATCATGCCCTTCTTGCCTCTCACCACTCCCTCAACTACCAGACCACAGCAAGGCCCCACCAGCAGCACATATGCCAGAGAGACAGCCTGAAGGACCACATCACCTCTCTTCAGCACAGAGAGCAGGGACCGGTCTCTGCTCAAATGCCACCTAAGACCTCGGGCTCTGCCCTCACACTCCATTCTTCACTGTCCCCACACGGCCTAACATGTGAGTGCATGTGAATCTCCCTCACACAAAACAGCTCCGTGTTGTGTTCTTTCTGAGCGAGATGAGAGGAAGGGCCTGCAGTGACACCTGACACCCACCAGATGGTGCTGGAACATCATATCTCAAACTATAGTGACCAGGAACTGAGACTGGCTGTGACTGCTGGGGCAGGGGAGGAGACTGACTCCTCCCTCCACAGGGCTCTGAAGGGACATCTTGTGGGGAACGGACTGCACGGTATCCTGGCCAAGGCTGCAGTGACATTCCACACACCTGACAACAATTAACAAGTGCACAATTTATTATGTAAGCAGTATGGTCAAGAATCTACCCTACTTCAAAAAAAGTCTGTTCACACATGATTTTTTTAGACACTGAAGCTTTAAGATAGTCTTTCTTATATTGTATCAATTTAAAGACTACAAACTAACTCTCTGAAGGGAAAAAAAAAAAAAGGTTTTTACTACTTGGACAGCTACAATGCCCCGAGTTTCCCAGGCTGCTACTGTTTGAGGGGGTAGAAAGCTGGCACTCTTCCACGGAGCAGATGGTGGTTTTGAACTGCTGACTTTCCAGTTAGCAGGATGATTCCTGTGGCCTGTAAACCATCAGGGCTCCTCAGAACAGATTATGCAAGAGGAAACATGGGCACCGGAGGGAGAGTATGCTAATGTTTCCAGCTCTTTCAGAACCCCATGGGCACCGACACCCAGAGGACGTCGGAGGCAGTGTGCCCAGGGCCACATGGCTCACCTCGTTCTCATACTGGATCTCGAGCATGGCCCGAGAGCTGCCCAGATCCTGCATCACAGACTCGGCCTGTTTCAGCAGCTCCTCCCTGTTCACAGTACGCTGTGGAGAAAGCAGGGCGTGAGAGGTGAGGCCCCCCATGTTACCTGATGACAAATGGGTGAGCAAAGCAATTCTTCAACACACACATCGAAAGGCCTCAAAGCAGCCAAACCACTGCCAATGGCGGCAGCAGCCTGGCAAACGTGAAGGAACTCGCTCAGGAAGTACAAGGACATGCTTAGCCAGGGTGCACGGCAAGCTCAGAAACCGAGTGAGAAATGTCTGTAACTTAGCCATCACTAGTGCAAGTGTGGGGCTGCAGCTTCCCAGAAGCCTCTTGGGGTCCCATTACAATTAGAGGGCAGAGGGACAGACAGGGAAACAGGGGAGCTAGATATGTATTGGTTGGACCTTCCTGCCCAAAGCTGCCTGCTCCTCTGCAGCTGGAGGATGATAAAGGTCATTCAGGTGCTGAATGGCTTGGGAAAGGACACAGACAGGAAGAGGGGGTCACTGACAAGAGTCGGTGTACATAAAAGGCAGCACCTTGGGAGAAAGGGGGTTCAGAGTCTCGGAGCCAGGACGAGGGACAGGATGGTGCACAATCCTGTGGCTGCCTTGGGCAGACCCCCCCAATTCTCCCTCAGACACCACACGAGTCGGTCTCTTCCAACCGGCTAAGGGAATTGGTGCAGCCAAGAACTAACTCTCGCTGCTGTGCAAGAATGCCTATGGCCTAAGTTCCCAATTGAGGAAGAAAAGGAATCTGTAAGAGAAGGGAAGTCCAGTGGTTGGTAACGGGCCCTGACAACAGGAGAAGCTGCAGAAAGGACTGCGGGGGTGGGGAGACAAAGAAGAGTCACAGGCAGTGCAGGACTAAGAGTGTGACAGGGACATGTGGGGCCCTCAGGAGAGAGAGGAGGGACAAAGATAAACGACATGCTTTAAACCACCCGAAGCAGCCCAGCTGAGCAGCACGAGCAGCACACTACCCCCGCAGGCTGCTCAGCTGTTGAAAAGCTTGGCTCAAGCTTTATCTTAAAATATCTGGGGGAGAAACATACTTTTTTTCTATCCAATCGAGGTGCAACTCTGCTATCTTGAGAATCGGACTGGTTGATTTCTGGGTTGGTGTCAAGTAGTCTCTGCATGGCTCGGTCTCGATCAAACGCAGTGACGTAAAAAAGCATTTGCCGGGTGTCAAAAGGAAAGAAAAATGGACTGGAAGAAGATGTAAGAAAAACAATCTGAATTAGAATCAGAAATCATTAAGCACAAACACGTGTGCCCAGCACGCACGCACATACCAACACCACCGTCGGCCCCCCCCTTCCCCTCCCTCGCAGGCGCTATGGGTTAGGTATTGGGCTGCCAACCAGGAGATTGAAGGTTCAAACCCACCAGCGACTCCATGGGAAAAAGATGAGGCTGTTTGCTGCTATAAAGATACCCCACATAGCTGGGTTCGCTTGATGGCTTGGCAGTGGTTTTTATGTTTAATAAGATGCAGAACATGGCTTTTCCATACAAAGCCCCCATCACCCAGTTGAGTCTAGCTGAGAAGCCCCATCAGGACAGAGAACACTCCTGTAAGGTTTCCAAAGCTGTCATCTTGACATATGCAGAGAAGCAGGTGGGTTTAAACTCCCTATATTTTGGCCAGCTGAGCCACCAGAAGTCCTCAATGACCAACATAAGTAACGGAAATGATCCTGGTAAGCTTCTATGCCTTCTCATTGCTCTTCCGTGACGTTTACCGGGGATCAAACACAAATGCCACAGGTATGTCCTGCACGGCACACTGGAATCCCACTATTAAAACCTGACTGACTGTTCAGTCTTTGCAAGTCAATCTTGCACTGCCCCTGGGCCTGAAGAAGTGTGGCATGCACAACTTCTTGTCGTCAGCAGCAGTGATTGGTCCGGAATCTAAGAGACTGAATACACAAGAGAATGTCACACGGCCCAGTCCCAAGCCAGCCCCGTGAGCAGGGGTAGATCTGGACTGCTGTGATCCACAGGGTTTCCAGAAATGATCACCAGGCCCTTCTTCCTAGCATGCCTTAAATCTGGCAATGAGGAGTTGGAAGTGCAGGGACTGATACCCAGGTCCCCAGTGTGGAAGGAGGAAACCCTCCCCCTCCCCCCACCAACCCTCCAATGCTTCAAATAGCATGCCTGCTATTGTAGTGACTGTCAGTGACACTGCAGGGCAGAGTAAACGGCCCCCCCACCCCCACGCCTCTTAGATTGTCATCTTTACAGGTGTTTATCGCCAGTTCTCGTCTCCTACCGAACAGCTGGTGGGTCTGAACCACAGACCTTGAGACTAGCAGCTTAGGGCTTCTTGATAACCTGGCTACTGAGGAGCGTTCGCAGGAAGCCTGGGCCCCGTGTCACACATGCCCACATCATGGCTTAACTAAGTCTGGCTTTCCCTCTTAGCCTTTTCATCTTGTGGCAGTGAGGTGGCCTGACGGCCTCTTACTAGGGGGAACACGGAGACCACTCTGCAGAACATCATCCAGGGGTGACCTGAACACTATCCTGTTCAGGTCATGCGAGCATGAGGCTAACGTGTTGGTAAAATGGGATTATTTTATCCCATTGCAACTCGTTTACTTCCCCCCTGGCTAGGAGCCACTGTCATGGATTAATCAGCACAACTGAGTGTCTCTGGTTCCGGCCAGGCCAGGGACACCCACCACACCTACACCCCAAAGGCCCACCTGTGGTTCAGACACTACACAGCCCCATCGTACGCGAGAGTCAGTTCTGGCCCCCACCTGTCTGGTCTGTGGGGAGGGGCTGGCGCCACCAGTGGGAACACCACTACCACAACACTGTGAATGTCCGGGCAGGCCCACTGAAGGCAGGTGGCCTTGGCACGAAGGCACAGTTGCTCCAGGGCGGCGAGAGGCTTACCAAGTCTTTCCCAGCTCTGTGAGCCACGTGGGGATGTTTCCCGTCATGATGACTAAAGGATCTTGAAGCTGCCTGTTCGCTTTTGCAGTCAACTTACTGTTGATAAATTCACTAGTTGGGATAATCTCCTTACACATTGCGTTCTGTAAGATGATTTAAAAGAACAGAAGACATTGCCACACATCATGAAACATTTGGGCTGCACTCATAATTCTCGCCCTGTACCACCAGCTTTACATGCAGAGGAGCTTGACTGCACTTATTGCTTCCTAGCGAGCGCAGGACCTCAGCCTGTATCCCAACCCAAGTTCCTGAAGCTTCTACCACCGCTATTTAAACGCATAAACGCACCCGATCTCCGCCCGCCCGCCCACAGCCTGGGCTAGCCCCACGCGTGCCCTCCGCCCCGCACTAACAACAACGCGGGCAGTGCACAGCTTTCATGCAGTGTTCTACTGGGTACACATCTTCAGACAGATGAATTTTGGTTTAACGTACCTAGAGAATACTATTAAATGCACGTTACAAACAACTCCAAGAATATAGGCCAAGGAAGGATGGGGCAGAGTGGGGGTATGAATGGCCTGGGTCAGGAGGCTTCAGAAAGTGCATAGGAAATGGCATGACAAGACCGCTGGGTTTTCCCATGGACTTTGGAAGGCACCGGACAAGGATTAGGAGCCCCACTTTCAGCTCAATCATTGTCATTGCCTGACTTTCCGGTGAAACAAGAAACCCACCCACCACCAAACAGATGAAGCACGGCGTGAACAACAGACCAAGGACTCTTACTCACATCATACAAGTAATACCAGTATCGGCTGACGGCATGCAGAACCCGTAAGAGGAGGATGACATCTAAGGATGGGTCTTCGAAGGTGATGTTTTCAGGTGGTGCGGGTACAAGGTACACTTCTAAAGGGTTTGACACTGATGGGCACACTCCATCTAGAGGGCAGAGAACAAGGTGGAAAGGCTCACGTTGCATGTCGTTCACCAACCCTAACAGAGAGGAGAGACTGCTCGAGATGCCAGCAGGATACTCAGTGCAGACTCAGCTTTCTGGTTCTATCTTGCACGCAAAACAGTACTGTCCAGGATTATAAAGCTTTCCTGTCCCATCCCACAGATGAAACTGGATTTACAGAAACAGATGGTAACAATAAAATGGTCAGAGGAACAACTAAAGAGTAAATGTTACTAAAAAAAAAAAATCACTGCCACTGAATCAATTTCAACTCACAGTGACACAACGAGACACAGTGGAGCTGCCTCTTTGGGTTTCTCAGGTGTTACTTCAGACAACCTCATCTTTCTCCTTTGGAGCGGCGAGGGGATTTCAGACATCAACCTTGTAGTCGGCAACCCAAAATGTAACCCTCTTCGCCACCAGGGTCTTTTCATCATGGATGAGGGGCATTTCATTATCATCAAGTTAGAAAGGCACTGTGTTACGATGGCCTCTCTCACATGGCCGGCCAGGCGCTGTGGCCATATCACCGCCGCTAAACCAGGCTGTGTGTGGGGAAGAGAAGCACCTTGCGGTGTTGCACAGGGAACTCACGCCCCGGGGAAGGACCACGACATTGTGGCCATCATCGTTGTCACCTCATCTGCGTGTCAGGCTGCTCACTGAAAGTTCAGTAGCTCAAAACTAGCAGCCAGCTCCTCAGGAGAAAGACGAAGGCTTTCTGCTCCCACAAAGATTTACAGTCTCAGAAACCGTGTCGACCCTGTGAAACTGACTCAGTGGCAGTGAATTTGGTTTGGTGCTTGTTACAAGAAGGGCTTCAAAGTTCTCAAAAAAACATATGCAACGAGAAGGGTATGCAGTGTCCGCCCCGCCTGCCGTGTGACACATTATAACGAGGACGACAACTACAGCCCAAGCAGTGTGCCCCACAAGCCCCTATCCGAAGCCTCTAGCAGGGAAACATGCCCCCAACCCAGCCTTCAGGAAAATGCTGGGAGGGCCGCCCCCACATTTTCTGCGGAAACAGCGTTTCACAGATGGTTAGTCTGACTACTGGCTGCCTTGTGAAGCGGAACCCCACCCGCAGCAGGGAGCACCGCGTCCTCCTCCTGCACGAGCACGCACGCACCGTGCCACAGCTCATCGTGCTTCTTGGCGTTGCGAGGCGAAGTTTTTGTTGGAGCTGTTTGGGCTCTCCCTCGTTTACCACCAACACAATCTTTACTGCTTTCTTCATCCTCTCTAACAGGCTTGTACCTGCAACGATAGGACAGCATGTGAGCCTTGAGCAAGATGGCTCCCTGAGCCCTGGTGCAAACAACAAACACCAGAGCGCCCGGCCTAAGCTCACTTCTGCAGGAGGCTCACCTTCTGGGGCCCACCTAAGAAATTCCCCAGGGAAGAATGGCCCTCAAAGCAATATAGGAAACAGCACTCAAAATCCTTGGAGACTCACAGGTGGGGTGGTGCCCAGCCCCTACTGCTTGTGGGTCATTCTGGGCAGGACACTTTCGTCTCATGTCAGGTCTCGAGATGCAAACACAGACTGCTGCCATGAGTACGAGGGCCCCTGGTACACACTTCCTAGTGGACGGATGGAAGGGCTATACAGATGCAGGTCCGCAAACACGACTCAACACTTGAAGGGCTTTGAGCACTTTCAGAAGGGGTATTTCGGGGCTCTTTTCCATATACGCAAGTCAGCCACTGCTCGTAGTTCTACAACACACTAATAACATCAAAGTCTACACCGAGCCCTATGGCCTGATGTTCAGACTTGCCATATGGTGTGAGTCTTTGTCCAGATGCCAGCTCTTCCCAGGGGATTGCTCTCATCATCCGTGGACTCCCGTTCGTCCTCCGCCTGAACACTGAACTGCCGCACAGCCTGGTACACGGTCATGTTGTATGGCAGCAAGTGCTCGCCAATGTGAAACTGCAGCCTGTGTCTTACGTTTCCTGAATTCAAGAACTGAGCAGCCTGCACAAACACAAGTAGAGCTGGTGACACGGCAGGCCCCACGTACCACTCTCCAAGCGACTACGGGGGTTGGGGGAGGGGGGCAGTGTCTTACCAGAGACTCGTCTATCTCCTCGTCTGACCCATCATCATCACTGTCTTCGTCATCTTCCCGGACTCGTCCATACCCTAAAGATCCAAGAAGGCTGTTAACCTCCTAGCAAAGATAGCAAAAAGGAAAACCGGGCATCCTGGGTAAATAAGCACTTTTTATAAACTACGCGCCTGTTAACACATTGACCTCACAGCAGGCTGAGCTGGGCAAACTGTCAAACATAGGGAGTCCTTCCTACTGCACTGAAGCAGACATGTGCACTCATCCCTCAAGCAAGCAGTTAAGGGTGAGGTAAGCTAAATGCTAGACAGGAGAGAGGAAAGAAGCACAAGCTCTTGGCTGGGGTTTAGCACAAACAGCACGGGACAGGGAAGCCAGGGCTGGGTTCAGGAGTAAACACCAAAGAAAAATAAACTGTTACCAAATGACAGGCACCTTCATGAAACTAAACTATGTAACTTGAATATTCCAGTTCCTGGACATAGCCGCCTCCTAGGTCTCTGCCCTTTTGAAGGGGCGCTCCGCCTTCTCTAACCCTGCCTCATTAGCTGACACCATGTCAAAGAGGTAAATTTGGTCTTAAGAGACTCAAACCTTGTTCTTTCTTTTGTTTACTAAATCATTTCATTGGGGGCTCTTAGAGCTCTTATAACAATCCACACATCAATTGTATCAAGCACATTTGTACATATGCTGCCATCATCATCTTCAAAACATCTTCTTCCTAATTGTCATTGGCAACAGCACCTCTTTTTTCCCTCCCTCCCCCAACCATCGTGAACCCTTGATCAATTATAAATTATTATTTTCATATCTTACACTGTCTGCTGTCTCCCTTCACCTAGTCTACTATTAGTCCCCCCTGGGTGTTTACACATGGATTACTGTGATTGGTTCCCCCCTTCTCCTACTCTCATATTATCGCTACCCCCTTTTTGTTCTAAGAGTTTTATCTGTCCTGAGTTCTGTGGGTTGAGAGTTCTTATCTGTACCTGTGTACAGGTTTAGAGTTCTTATCTATACCAGTGTACATGCTCCAGGCTAGCCGGGTTTGTAAGGTAGAACTGGGGTCACGATTGTGTGTGTGTGTGTGTACACACAACTAGAGGAATGTTGAGGAGTATTTTGTCAGTGCTATACTGCACCCTGGCTTGTCTGTGACCCATCTGTAAAGTGATGTCCACTTGTCTACAGAAGGTCTTTGGGTTTCTACTCTGACCACCCCTTGTTCACAGATTGCTTTTGGTTTGGGTCTTCTGGTACCTGATACCTGATCCCGTCGACACCACCTCGTGATCACGGGCTGGTGTGCTTCTTCCATGTGGGCTTTGTTGCTTCCCTCCTAGATGGCCACTTGTTTAATTTCAAGCATTTAACAGCCTAGATATTACATCTTTTAATAGCCGGGTACCATCAGCTTTCTTCACCACAATTTGACTTTAACGATTGTGTCAAGAAGAAGAGCATCACGGAATGCCAGGTCATTAGAAAAAAGTGTACTTGCACTGAGGGAGGACTTGAGTAGAGGCCCAACATCCATCTGCTTCCTTGATACTTAACATATAAATATATGTACACAGACCTATCTCCCTAACGACCTGTTCTTTTTCAACGTTCTCTGGGTTTAAGGAACAAAACGAAGTTGGAAAGGGCAAGAGGGCGGCTGTTGGTTATAGGAGATAGGTCTCCCAATGAAATTCAAATAAGACTGCTCTTGCTACCATTGAAGGCTAAGTGGTGCATTTTTAGGATGAGGAAAATTCCTCAGCAAACTTTTGCTGTTTTTTTCCTCAATGATGCAGTTTTCCATTTCTTCAAGCTTCACAATAAGCCCTGATAACAGTTCTGTTTCGGTTTTTTTTTTGAGAAAATCTATCAAGATCACCATCTTAACCATAACCTTCTAAGCTGACTTCTGTACATTCATTGAACTGGCTCAGCAGATGTTCTCAGAAGCCACCACTTTGACTGAACTCTTTCCCAATGATGGGCCCCGCCCCTACATAAGACACCTGTGTCGCCTTGTCTGCAGCAATGTACAGACTGACTGCACTTAAACATCTAATACTTTGGTCTAACTCTTGCATGTGTGTTTCTGTGTATTCATACACATACAGTCTTCCACAAATTGGTAAAAAAATGGAATTAAAAGATAATGAAAAAATGTCCACGAACTTTTAAAATCCCTCGTTTATGTGTGTTATATATGTGGATATGCACACACACAGGATGTATCTTATTATTCTCGGTATTCATGTGTGCATTTTAATCTTAATCACACCCCACGCACACTCATGAACCCAAAGGGCAAACACCGACTTACCTCTGACAACCAGGTATCTCTCGATAGCCTGCACCAGGGCCAGGGGGTCAATCTTGACGGGCCCGCCCTTCCACTGCTTCACATTGGCACAGTCTGGGTGTCTCTGTAGCTGGCATTTGAGCTGATGTGTGTTGAAAAATTTTAAAGCTTGTGATCCTCTGTTGAGAGAAAAGCTCCAGATAATTTGGGAAAAACGGTTACTCGCTTATTGCCACAATCAATATACAATAATTAATTCATATAAAAGCAAGCAATGAGCTAACACAGACAACACACATACAGGCATAATAAATAAGAACTTACTAGGTAGATTAATTGATAAAGCCAGCAACTTTTTTTTTAAAGTAAAAATAATAAATGAACGAGAAACAGGGAGGTTCTGCACCCATGCAGGGAAAAATAGGTGGTTCACGGTTCCCTCCCTGCCCTGTCACGATGCCCGGTGAGCAGAAGCACCTGGTCCTGGAGCGCTCTGCTTCGGGCGAGGGCTTCTCCATCAGGAAGCATGCTCACTGTTCCACTCGTTGGCCCTTTCCTACTCAAGCCTACCAATTTACAAATGAAGACTCTTGTTTTGCTTTTAAAGATTGCAGCCACAAAATCATTTCAAGAATTGGACATCTGTGGGCACATTTTTTTTACTAGAGTAGCACATTAGGTTTCAGCGTTCACTTCTGAAAAGCTCGCCACCAGCAGTCATGTAGCAGGTGGCTTTGTAAGATGAGCTCATCTACAAAGTCCCATGGAAAGTGCATGTGGGGTACGGGACAAAGTATTCCATTACATTGGTGTATATGAGGTGGCTTCAAATAGTTTGTGGGAAAATGCCTTTCTCTTTCATTTCCAAACCCCCTCATGCACACAGAGACAAATATGAAAAGCTTCATGGTTTTCTCAGGCATAACACAGCAAAAGTGAATGGAATCTCCCCTGAATTGATAAAAGAGTTCAGAATATTGGGCTTCCAATAGGCTAACGAGAATGGACATCCCACTCTGCAAACAGAAAAACCCGCACTCACAGAACACCCCACTACATCAGCACTAAGACACCTACACAAACCATTCAATACTGATGCATCTATTTCAAGTCAATCACTTTCAATCAGTCAAAATACTTCAGATTTTGGATTTTACAACCAACCTAAGCCCCACGTTCTAAGCTTCTGGCCCAAATACCCCAATGAAGCTTTTAACTGACCAGAGAATACAGCAGTGAACTTTTACAGTTCATCCCTCCCTAAGCAACTTGCCAAACCACACCCAACTCACTGCCTTATGTTCCTTCCAACTTACAGCGACCTCGTAGGCAAGACTGTCAGTCTTTATGGGAGTAGAAAGCCACAGAGGCGCTGGTGGTTCCAAGATGCAGACCTTGGACTTTAGCAGCCCAGATGTAACCCACTATGCTGCAGGGCTCCTTTCAGCACTTCACACAACTCCTGTAAAACTACTACATTGTTGAACACGGTAGAAATTTGGATGAAAACAGCATAACTTCAAAATAAGCATATTTGTTGAAGACCATCAAAACACAACGATGCCAATGTATACTGGCAAAATACAATGATGTCTCTTGTGCCAAAGAGCAGGAGCCCTGGTGGCATAGTGATTATGAGGTCAGCGATCCACAAGGTCAGCAGTTGGAAACCACCACCAGCAGCTCCGAGAGAGAAAGGCTGGGCTTTCTATTCCTGTAAACAGTTACTGTCGTGGAAATGTACAGGAGCAGCTCTATCCTCCCCTATGGGGGCATTGTGAGTTGGCATCAATCCTATGGCAGTGAGTTTGAGATGTCAAGTATGATACCCCATGAATGCACTTAATTTTAAATAATTACTTCATGATCCATGACCAACAAATTCTGGCAGGAGCTTTATATACCAAATAATATGAATTTGAAAACCAGCCTAGTCGGAGCTGTCTTGCATGGTTGGAAAACGGCATGTTTAAGGCTGGGTGTAGTTCACACTTCAGAGCACTCTATTTCCTTCAGTCCCGATGCCCATTTGTTCCCCGGACTGAGCAAGACATTAGTAGACCTCTTGCCATCTGATCTTAAAAAACCAACCAACCAACCAAACAAAAAAACTCCCCAAAAGTTACCAGATTCCAGTGGCCAGGGAACTCCTCAGTCATGATCCTTACCTGCCTGCCGTCCCGTTCCCACTGGGGAAGTCATGTACTTTGACAGGAAACTGTTCCATCTGGCTGAGGCAGTTGTTCATCTTGTGAACTAACGCCAATAGAGGTGCATTCCCCACTGGCTCCACTCTTCCAATAGGCTCTTCTCCAGGAAGCTGGTTATAAATAAGTCAAGAATTTAAACCAGGCCCTTTGCAAACAAAACTCTCCCCAGTGAGAAAATGGCAACAGCAGTTTGCACACGGGAGCCATTTGTCCGTTCCCTTTCCTCGCCCATGAAGCCTTCTCTAGTTCCATAAAGACACTTGTGTTGGGCTGGTCCACAAACCCACCAACAGGCAGCTCCTTTTCTAGGCTCCCTGGGTTTGGTTTTAGTTCAGAACGGCCGGGTTTTGCTGCAAAAGGATTGAATGTGTATACTGTGGAGGGCTGCTCATGACAGCAGTCTTCAAATAGCAGGGGCTTCAAAAGATTTGTAGAAAAATACCTTCATCTTTCCATTCCATTTCCTACAAACGTGAAACGTGAAGCCCCCTTGTCTAGACTGGAGTTTAGAACTCATGAGACACACCCAGACAGACACCAAGGTTCCAGATAAAAGATCACAGACCTGCGCCTAATCTTAAGTGTGGGACAAACGACACCCAGGTGGTGTCACTAATCTCAGACATGTCTGCTGAGCAACCCTGCTTTCTCATGAGTCGAGAGAACACAGGAGCTCTTGGCTGACTGCCCGGGAAAGCTGGCCTCAGTCTTCGTTTACAACAGTCCTGAGGGAAGCCTCCATGGGAAGCCTTCCGTCAAGGACTGTAAACAAGCAGGGCGTTGCTAAGTCACTGGTGTCCAAGAGTAGCTACCTTCTCGCTCTCCCCGTGAGTGAAGAAAAGGGGGATGTTTTGTGGGCTCCACAACAGGACAGAATAAACACATCCATTCTAAGGTGCCCTGGAGACATAGTGGGTTACACAATGGGATGCTAAACAAAACACCCACCAGTTGCTCCTAGGGAGAAAGACGAGCATGTGGACAGCCACGGCAATGCCGAGGGGGCAGTTCTACTCTGCCCTACAGGGTGGCTAGGAGCCAGAATTGACTCAGTGGCAGTGGGTTTGGTGTTAGGCCTATAGTGGTGAGACGTCTACCCTACTCTCCCCTAAAAATACCCTGCCAACAGCAAACTTTGCAGACACGGAGACTAAACCACATGTGCCAGGTGAGGGGCTGAGGGACTTATGGGGGCAGGAGACCCAGAGACTGCAGCCGGAGACACTGTGGGATGGGCCCATGACATCACCATTGTGCTGGTACTAATTACTGGGTGGTTCTCCAGGGATGCCCACTGTGGCTAAGCAGCGGGAAACAGTCCCTCCAGATCTTGACCACCAGCCACTGGAGATGATCAGCGGAAGAGCACACACAGGCCGTGAGCAGACACTCCTCTCACGAGCTCTGGACACGTCACCAGCCAACTTACTGGGGAAGCAAAGAACACATGGAGGAACCGCTTTAATCTGATCTCTCTGCTCACAGCATCCTTCTCACTCTTCGATGTCAAGTAAAGCAGCAGCTGCTTCACGAAGCCACTGTGCTGGATCTCAAAGGAGGAGACGTCAGACTCGGAGACTATGCTGCGGATTTCTACAAGGCACTCGGCTCCACCGTCCACCTGCGAGAATTGAACAGGGTTCCCAGCTGGATGTGCACAGCATTGACGAAAGCCACCCTGCCCCTCCCTTCCACAAGGAACTGTGTACACACGGAAGACCTCTACCAGGAGGGGGTGGGGGGGTACTGGGTTCTTGGGAGATCCCAGGGGCAATAGATGCTTAGCGGGGCAATAGATACACACAATAGATGCTTCATGAGACAAGGACACAGCCATCCGTGCTAAGGTAACAAGGGTGAACTGACCGAGGGCGAGAGGATAAAGTGAAAGGAAGAAAGGAGCCATACTATCAGAAGGAAAAGATAAAACAAGAAGCCAAAGTGTGGCTTTCCAATGACATGGAAAATTTGCACAAGAGCTCAGTCTTTGAAAACATGTATTCCCCAAATTGTCTGAAACAGGTCAAAGATGAAAACAAAACCAAAACCCCACCCACAAACAAAACCCCTTTAACAGGTTAACATCTGAGACGCTATTATTAAGCTTCTACCCTGCCCGAGTCCCATCAGGCCCAAGCAGAAAGGGGCTAGAGAAGAGCACAGCTGAGGCGGCTTGGGAGAGAGGAGACAAGGAGACAAGCTTGGGGGCCATTCTGGAGTCTCTCCGTTTGCCAGTCATTGGACATTCAACAACATGACTCTGAACAGTTGAGGGATGAATGACAGAAGGGCTGATGTCTGGCATGAAGCAGTCACTTTGTGACAGCCACCCCCGCAGGGCAGGAGGGGAAGTCGAGGCCACTCCCTGGTGGAGAAAGGTGCCCACGGTACCTGGAGGTTGAGTTGTTCGGTTGCAGCACAAAGTCTCTGCAGCACGTTCAGCGCAGGGTTGCTCCCATCCATATTCTCAGAACTGAAATAACGCTCTACAAATTTATGTGCCTGCTCCTTAATCCAGCCTTTAATTTTTTCTCTGCACACACACAAAAAAAGGGGGGAGGGAGCAATTAAAGCCTCAGGATTCAGGGGCAGGATCTCAATGACACAGGTGCTATAATGGAAACACAATGTGGAGCCCACACGGGTAGATCCACACAGCCCACAGATTCCACATGAATCAAACTAGGTTTTGTTTTGCAAACAGGCAAAGGTGTGTCCTGAGAAATTCGAGGGCTGCTGGAATGCTTGGAGGGTTGACATGAGCAGTAGACAGACTACACTAGCTTCCTGAGACCTGACAGCCTATGTCTCCTAAGCATTCACTGGAATTTCCATCTACAGGACTGCTGGGTAAAGTATACTCAGACCTACCCTGTCCCCAGCTGTGCTTGAGAGCTGTATTTGATCAGAAAGAGATTACCAAACACTGGCACACTATGATAAATGAGGCCTGGCTGTTTAAATTACGAATTCCAATCGCTTAAAAAATACATCTACCTAAATTATTTTTATTAAGTCCAATTTAGAAAAACCACCAATGGACCAACCAACCAACCACGCCAAACCTCAAAAACCTATTTCACCCGAGACATTCATCGGTCATTTTCAATCGCATGTTTGCAGGAGTAATTCTTGCTGGTACGCAACATGCAAAGAATCCACATGTGGGCACGAAATTGTGTTTGGTGCCATCAGGTCCGCTCGGGCTCATAGCCAGCCCATGTACCGCAGAACAAACACTGCCCGATCCTGTGCCACGCTCACCAATGTCTACTGTGTTTGAGGGGAGGGCTGAAGCCCTGGTCGCAGTCCATTTCACGGAGGACAGTCTATTCCATGATGTTCTACAAAGCTTGGTGTCCTTTCTCCAGGAAGTGGTCCCTCCCGACAGCACGTCCAAAGTATGTGAGACAAAGCCTTGCCATCCTCACTTCTAAGAAATATTCGGGGACATCTTTTTAACCCTTTAAAGAGGGCGTATACGGCAGATGCCCAACACAAAGCTTGATTTCCTGAGGCTTCCATGGGACGTAAGTGTGGATAAATGCAACACTTGACAACTTCCATTTTTTCCCTCTGAGTATCATGTCGGTCTAGTTGTGAGGATTTTGTCTTCTATTGAAGCACATGGTCTTCGAGTCTTCTTTGGTTTCAAGAAGCACGATTGGGTCATGTGCCTACCTCAGGTTGTGAATGAGTCTTCCTCCAATCCTGCTGCCGTGCTCATTCAGCTTCCTGGATTAGTTGCTTAGCAGACAGGCTGAACAAGTATGGTGAAAGGCTTCACCAGCGGATCACACTTCTCCTGACTTTAAACCACGTGGCTTCCCCTTGTTCTTGTTACATAGGACAATGGGTACATAAATATCTCTGACTGTGAACAGAGAACAGGGCAGCTTTCCCTGTCCGGAACAAAACTCTGAAGCAAGTATCAAGGAATCCTAACTTGTTCAGTCTTGAGAGAGCTAGAGATGGTCCACGAAACTTCTAGACCTAATACTGGAATTTAGGAAGTGGTAAGAAGCTACCAAGTTTGGGTGGTGCAACGGTTAAGCACACAGTTGCTAACCAAAAGGTTGGTGGTTCAGATCCACCCAGCAGCTCTGTGGGGTAAAACATCTGGTGGTATGATTCCAGAAAGATGGAAACTCTTGGCGGCTCAGTGCCCAGGGGCAGGGGTGGTATTGCTATGAACCAGATGACAGCACTCAACAACAATGGGGTTCAAGCTCCCTCATCCTGACCTCCTCCACAGTTCCAAGTCCTCATCATCTGTGCTATCTATACCATAAACATTCTAACTGAACATGGTGTCACGTTTTCTGATCTGGAAGAGGCGAACATTGGCACCCCCACCCCCACCCAGGTCTCACCTATTATTGGATATGGTGTCCTTAGAGGCAGCCCTGGCAAGGCCACTGACGCCGGCAGTACGTGCTGGTTCGATATTGTTGCTGTTGGTCTGTGCACTTAACCTTCCCCACGTTTTGGGGTTTAAGCTCGCCAGGAAAGAAGATTTGGGTGACTGCGTTGTGGTGGGGCTTTTGGCTACGAGAAGGAAACAGCAATGAAATCCCTTCAGCATACGTGCTGAAAACCATGTCAATCTTAAGACTTACCATTCACTGAGGAAAAACAAAAACAAAACTGTGGACACTGAACACTCAGGAAACGGTGGCATGTTCGGTGCTATAAGCCATTTTAAGGAAATCCTGATCCATAAGGGATCTCATCTCACTCCCCCTCCCACTCTCCAAACCCCCAACCCTCCCCACCCCCAAGCCTGGCCCTGTGGTCAGCGTTACTTACCTTGATTGTCTACTTTGTCGTCATCTCTAGGAGGTGAATACTTTGGCCTTCTTGGTCCTCGTTTGGGCAGTCGCTTTCTCTTGAGAACATCACTCAGTCGACTATTACATGGGAAAAAACACAGTCAGTTGAGCCATCATTGCTGCACAATAATCATTATTCCAAAGTCCCTGGTGTTTCCAGGGCTCTGGGCATGGGCACCATCTCAACTCAGCAGCTCCCAGGAGTATTTCAGTTTCAGTGCCTGATGTCCCAGCCAGCCGTAAGTCACACCATCGCCCAAACTCTGCCACCCGGGGGCACCCAAAGCAGCCAGGCCGGGGAAGCTTCTGTGGCAGCACCACGCAGCCCAGAGGCTGCTGCTGGGCAGGACAGAGCTAACGGTCCCCTGACATTAGGCTTTTGAAATCCAGGTCTAAAGTAGGGCTACATTTGGCCAAAACCAGCTTTTCAGTCGAGGAGCCAAAAGGGAGCCTCCCTTGGAGTGAGCTCTGCGTTTCAGTGTGCGGTTCACCAGGCACCGTGCTTACAGCAGTACTGCTTATGTTTCCAACTCCAGGAAAATAAGAATAGTGAGTGCGTAAGGCGTGTGTCCAATCTAACAAGAGGACAGCCAACCTGAAGAAGGCTGGCTCACGCCCCAGCAACACAGCGCGACCACACTGACAGGAAGGCAGCTCCTTTCTGCCTGTATTCAGAGCATGCAGGTCTGTCCCCTGGGGCCAGTGAGGGAGGAACAGAAGCAGGAGGTGGAGGGTGTCCTTTGGCTCTTTCCTTTCCATTCTCAACATGGTAATGTACACCGACTCTCGCTATGGCAAAACCTCGGTGTCTCGAGGCTGGTTTGTGCAAGAGAGGACAGAAACCCAGGCCTGTGTGATCTGTGTGTGACCCTGTGCAGCACATCCAACGTCCCTGGGCCTGGCTCCAGATGGGCACATGGTGCATCTGTTGTGAAGGCTGCGGGCAGGCTAAGAACAAGGATGTTTCCAGAAGTGGGTGGAAATTTCCCATTACTCTGTGATGCCATGTTCCCATCACCTTTTGGACGCCCTCTGGTAGGGGGCTGCCGTGGAGGTGAAGGCTTTCTTCCCATTCCCTTCACTGCTAACCAACCGAGAGTGCAGGGCGGGAATGGCCCTGCTGTCTCTTGCCCGCGCCTGTCTCCAGTGCCATGGCAGAGAGCACAGAAATCAAAGCAGAACTCCGACTCACCCTTGAGGGCTCAGATCTAGAGAATCGTCTCGGCTGTGCTGCAGGCTGGGAGACCCCAAGTCGGCCGCTGCGTTAGTGGCAGCCGTGGCTGTTCCACTGCTGACTGACGTCGCGGACCCCAAGGTTCCGGATCCATTGGTACAAGCCTTTGGTGGGCTCGTCAACAGAGACTCGGACTCGGCTAAGTATTTCACTTGATGCATCACACCTTCACAGTAACAGAGATGGAAAGAAGAGCCAGCTTTCATCACGACCGTCCCCCCCCCCCGCCCCAGGCAAAACCCCGAAATGCTAACAGGGATGCACAGGCGGAACAGACAGACAGCAGGCACATGGGGAAACGCATCTAGAAGCCAGAGCCCTCAATTGGACCCCACTCCAAAAAAACATCATCAAATGTCAAGGTGAGGAAAGACATTTCTACCAAATGTCTTCTGAATTTCACAACAAGAAGTGTGTTTAGTAAGAGAGTTCAGCCGAGTCCCCCTGCAGTTCACAACACCCATAGGAGAACAATCATCAATCCCAGAAGCATAGTGAGGTTCCAGCTTCGTAGCCAATGTGGTGTGTGGGGCAGGGATGGTAGGGTGGTGGTGGGGAGTAACTAGGATTACTGGGCCAGGTGCCACGAGGAGGAGCCAAGATCACAAGAAAGCTGCCACCCAAAAGAGACAATGCAGGCTTTTCACCAGGCAGTGCTATTTTCACACTGTTGGGAGGTGCAGTAGAAAAACAAAATCCCTACTGCCTTCGAGGTCTGACTCAAAGCGACCACATAAGACAGAGTAGAACTACCCCAGGGACTTCCAAGGCTGTCTACTCTAATGGAGCAAAGTGCTGGGTCTTTTCTCACGTGGACAGACACCTGGTGGAACCGACTGCTGCCCTAGTGGTTAGTTCAGCCAAGCTCTTAACCACTGCACCACCCGGATGCTCTTGGAGGTATACAAACCAAACCCACTGCCTTCGGCTCCATTTCCACGGCCTATGACACTGCAGGACAGAGCACAACTGATCCATGTTGCTGCCTAAAGAGTGGCTGGTGGGTCTGAAACACTAAGCACCAAGCTCCTTAGGAAATTATGTGCACGTGCGTGTGTGAGAGAGAGAGGACACCTGATTGTGTAAATGACATGCTAATCAGGGTAGATGAATGTATGTAATTATATGTTCATAAATGCCCCACCCCCAGCCTTAGAAACAATCTAGGGCTTTTATCAGATTTGTAATTTTTTTAAAGAAGTAAAAACATAAAAGTCCAAAAAGAGGCATGGTAATACATTTAAACTATCGTTATTATATGCCAACCTTATGTGCAAGGGACTGAGGACATGGCCATGAACAAGACCAGTGCACTCAGGGTCCAAGGGAGACACTTTCACCAGAAACTAGCATGGATCTGATGCTGAGAGAGACAGCAATATACTCCGAGCCCCTAGCAGATGTGCCTCAGCTACCCTGCAGAGGAGGAAGGAGGGTCTGTGCAGGCAGGAGAGATGAAGTTGAAGGAACAGAAAGGTCTAGACAGAGAGTTGCACGTCAGCTGAGCCACCTGACTGCTCCATCAGCTTCGAGACTCAGCTGCCATAGCACTCTCTGGGTGGGGGAAATTTAATAGGGTGGCATAGCTGATCCAAGCGGCAAAGTCAACCCCATTAACTTTGAGGTAATTCAGACTTCATCATGGGAGCAGAAAGCTGAAACCCTGACTGTGGTCAATAGTAAATGCCTAACCCATAGTGCCACCAGGGCAGCATTAGTTGGGCAAAGGAAGGTAGAAAAAACATTGACTTTGAGAGAATAAGACTGTGATACACTTCCAGGGCAGAAAGGCATAACATTTGGCAAGGCGAACAAAAGCTTCCCATAGAAATAAAACTACAGAAAGCAGGATATACGATCATCATAGCAAAAAGAGAAGGAAAGGAGCACGCCCCCCATGTTTTTATATATGTAGAAAACTATCTGCATGTGTGCTTGTTTATCAATAGGTATCTCGGGAAAAAGGAGAATTTTGCTGTGCATTTCATATGTATACAGACTTGGAATTCTTAAAAGTCAGTGTGACTGATGCAAAACTAATGGAGGAAAATCTCGTCCATTCTGCTCAGTACAATTACGCTAATATACCCACTGCATTTTCAAGATGTGAAAAAGATGGGAGCATCCACCATCGGAAAATGTTACTAAAGAGAATGGAAAGCAGATTGTATGCAGAAAGTGAGCCAAAATTGTTTCCTAGATGGAAGATATAATTCAAGATTAGTTGAGGAGGAAATACCATTATTTTCTTTATCATCAGAAGGCCAATGCAGTCCCCCAAAACCAAGAGCCAAGGGAAGGCTTCTGCAGATGGGAAAGCATGTTTTCATCAACTAGGAAACAGGCTTGAAAATGAGCAAAGCCCTGAATGCGTAAGAAAGTTTCTTATCTGAGGTCTTCAAGAAGGGAATCAGAAAGGACCAGGTCTCTTAGGATGATTTCCTATTTAAGTGCCTCAAATTAGATTTTCATTCACCGACATGATGGAGTGCACAAAAACCACTTTATCGTTGGGAAATTTCTCCTTACATACAGTGTGTGTTTGGAAGACACAGACATCTGACTTTTTCCACAGAGTATCTTCATGAGGGCCTATACGATCTATACCCAAAAGTCAATGGGTGGTCCCAGCCATAAAAACCAGCGACACTAAGTCTTTATCAACTGGTTGTGAATTTCACAAGAGACTGATGAGAAGAAAGCGTTCTATATGCACTGGAGCTATAAGCATGTAAATGTCCTCTCTTACATAAGAGCTCACAATTCACTTTTTTCCCTGTAGTCTACAGCTATTCACACTTTCACTTGGAAACACGGACCATGAATGTACTGCTGTGAATGATATTACCTTCTCTTCTGAAGTAAACACTAAAAATATCAGGTAACTTCTGCATTAAGATTTCTGCCATCTGCAGTGCTCCAACTACTATCTTCAGGTCTTGGCTTGATAGCATGGAGGCAATGTGACTAAAAAAGAAAGCATTTGTATATAAAACTTTGTCTGAATTGGTTAATCATCAATGGCCATACTATTTTAACAGTGAGGGCAAAACACTTGTGAAATCACTCCATCAAAACAAGAATTTTCCTTCCATTTGCCTACTTATATTTTACTGCTTATTAAAGTTAAGAATTTGCATAGAAAGAGATTTTTTTTAAATGCCCCCCCTCTCAAGATATTCCAAATGAAATCTCACATCAAATATTCCATATGACTAAAGGATTCTTGAGGGTGATTTCCCGGCACACACCTTGAAACAGCATGGTTCTTCAAGACGTCCTTCAGAAGTTCAGCATCCGCAAAATAGATGATCCTAAGAATTGCTCTAAGGCACTTATGTCTGACCGCAGGTCCTGCCGAGGAACTATACACTTCGTAAAGAACACCAAACAACGTCTTAATGAAAGACTTAGCCAGGTCCGGGTCCTCTTTCATAAGCTGAGCTCGAGCGTCATCCTTCTTTAACTCTGAATATCCACCTGTGGCAGAGAGTGGAGAACCAGTACACGGTGACAGGCATCAGAGACGTAAGGAGAGAGTCAAGTCAACATCATGTTCAGACACGCTACGTCATACTGGGTGCTCAAACCAATAATACACTTCTTACTGTGATGTACCAAGGTCAAAAAAATGCTAGAAGGTAGCCAGACAAAATTGGGTCAGGACCATTCTGTCCCACAGAACACAGCAAGGCATCCTCCCCACGACCCCATTGATTTTAAGAATGTAGAAACTTGTTGAACCTGAGAAACTTCTGTGATCTCCTAAATGAGTCTTCCATCAACCGTTTGAAGCTCCCTCAACAGTCAGTGCAGTACTGATGGGGACATAGCGGATGCGAGTCCTGACTAGCCAAGCACCTTGCTGAGTCTGGGCTAGAAAGTGCATAGGAGGAGTTGAGGCAGCAGGTAACCTTAAACAGCACAGGGTAAGCCAGGCGCTAAACTTGGACCCGAGGGCCAAACCAGATGGTCAGGAGTGACATCTCAGTGAGAGCTGCCCTGCTGGATGGTTGAACAGCAGCCCACTGAGTCCAAGCTCTTTGAGACGTGGCCATTTACAGGTGTTTGCTACAGCTGCTCTACACTGGAGTTTCAAAGGCAATGGACTATACATTTGCTGAGGGAGGATGTCAGAAAGCTGAAGGAGAAAAAATAAAATATATGGAATCTATTTTTTTTTATTATTACTTAAGAGAATTTAGGTGGTAAGGTAGAAAAGGAAAGGTCACTTAGAATTTTGGAATGGGTAGGATACAAATAACAGGATCAAGGGGGAAAAATGGCGGGGGTCGATTCTGATTGAAGACACAGGCCAGAACATAGTATAAGTTAAAAAAAAAAAATCTAGGAGAGGAAAAAAAAAGGAAAGATGCAAGCAGTACTGGCTTATTCATCATCACATACAGCATGAAAATGCCAAAACGAATATGCTGCTATCATAAGTATAATCAGGGTACCCAGTGAGTCAAATATGATTACAAATAATACTCAGATGACAATATAGAGGCAAAAATTACTTACTAGTGTTAGTGTTGGCTAAGGGGTTAGGTTTTCTCTGAATGGCACGTGCTGTTCCCGTGTCCTCATTGATTTGCTGCATAGAATTAAAATCAATAGTATAAACTCGTCCCAGAGTGGACAAGCTTATCTCATCCTCACCGACCTGATGGGCTGCCTGAGAGCAAAAAGAGAGAAACCTTGAATATAAACATGGAGAAACTAAATTACCTTCTGACACAGTGGGAGCCCCTCTCTGAAATCGCTAACCAACAGATTCATTTCATAAGGTTTCAAATGGTGGAATAATAGAATGCAGGCGATTTTGTCCCACAGGACAAAACTCCTCCAGCCAACAAATCCCATTTTCACTAAACACAGATACACACAGGCCTATCGGGTCCCATGAAACCAAAACACAGGTCAAGTCCTGATGCAAGGTCCAGCTGTAGAGCATCATTGACATGCCGCCGCCGTCAAGGGTGCTCAGAAAGTTCTTAAGACGTTGCTGGTAAGTGGGGAAAAGGGTTATGCATATATCTTATTGCTCTTATTCTTGGACTAAAAAGTTATCATGTGTTAGGTTTATAGCTGCCCAGCAAAGTCCTCCTTTAAACAAGGGTCCCTATAAAAGGTTTTGTCCTTAGGTAAACAAAGGATTTTACATTTCACTGAAACAAGACTGAGGAGACCCGATCGAAAACTACAGTCCAGATCTGCAGTCCATACACACAGTCTGTATGCAGCTGAAGGCCGTTTAAACAGTGTGCTCGACTCCAGACAACCTATAAAAGTAACAGAATATGAAAAACTTTCTTATAAACTATAGAATGTCTGGGCTTTAGAGAAGATAAGCAGCATAGGAATTTTAAGACACAAAGGGCAAAGAAGCAATTATTGAAGGATGGGAGGGACACACACACACACACACCCTTATCTTTGGAGCCCACAGCCCTTCGCCTGGGTCCACCCACCTATGCCCTGCTGTTTCCATCTGAGGGCTGGCATCAAAGGCAGAGATAAGGACAAACGGGTGAGCAGGTAAAGTTCACTTCCTTAAAAAAAGGTAACTTTTAACAGTCTTATGACTGTTGTCATAGGAACTTTGTTTTACAGCATGAATCCAAGATTCAAAAGGTTTTCAAAAATTCCTTTCCTGAAACAAACTGGTGAAAACTCTCTTACAAGAGAGTATCCATTAAGAAATGAGACCTTCGGGGGCATATTCAAGTGTGGGGGTTGAAGCCAGAAAACTCACAGGGAGGTTTGTGACAAATCTAAGTAAAAGAGGTGTGGCATCTCAAAGGAGAGCATGAGTAGCACACTCCGTAAATCTGGGACACAAGTATCTTGTGGATCAGATTATTTCCAGAAAATATTCCCATAAAAACTCAATGGAAATCAAAATATAAACACTACATACATAAAACTGCCATGGGAAAAATCACAAGAAACACGCTGCCCTATTTTTCTCCTTAGCATCACTGTCTTCCCTCCTTAGTAGCTTGCAGTCTTGAAAAGTACTGCTTGGTATTTCTCTCATCCTAGTTGTGTTGGTCATCTGGATTACATACAAGCCTCAAGCACATAACACAATTCACTTCATCATGCAGTTCCTGGCTGTTTGCAGCCCTGTGAACCCTCCTAAACCATCTACTTGTGTGTAGATCTGCCTGTGGCAGATTTCGTTAGGGGACAGGGGCAGGAGGAGAGGGTTTTTAGCAACACAGAGCATGACTCCTCCAACGTTTCCTTGGAGAAAAGGAGGAAACTGTGGGACAAGTCAGTCAAGTACTGGGCAGCAAAAGCAGGACTAGAACACCACTGTTTTCTGACCTGAACAGAAATGAGGACCTTGTTCTCAGGAGACAAAATGAGAAGATCAAGAGTTAACGTAAAATTGAGGACAATGCAGTACACACGTTCACCTCCCCCTCACCCCACCCCCTCGCTTTCCCTAGCGAATACTCTCATTAAACAGTGCGATGAAACTACTACCTCAATGATGCGGCTGTCAATCCTGTTGTATGGATGCCAGAGGCCCCGGTCATCCCGCCACTGCCAGATGGCACCATCGGTGTTCTGAGTGCTGCCCTTCTTCAGCATGGTGTCCACCGCGAAGATGCCCTCCTTCGGCAGGCAGGGCATGAGTTCGCTGGGGGAGTGAGGGGGACAACAAAGTGTCCTTTTTTAAGACAGTCCGGCTTCCGGAACTCCAAGTCATTCACCCTCTAGAATGAAATGTGCCCCAGGAGAGATACCACCCTGCCATCATTACTGCTATTCTGTACCAGATCAGGGAGGTCAGTTCATAGAGCTCTTGAGGACTGCGGGGCACAAGGTCGATCTGCTCCTGACAGCTTCCGTTGGAGGCGCCGCACAGCAGGAAGTGAAGAGTTTCTGCAATGTCTGTAAAACCAACAAGAACCACCACAAAACCCCATTAACCTAGTTAAGAGTTCCTAACTCGAAAATAATAATTTATCAAAGGTTCATGAGAATGGGGAGGGTAGGGGAGGGAGAGAAAATAATCAGGAGCTCAAGTAGAAAGAAAATGTTTTGAAAAGGATGATGGCAACATATATACAAATGTGCTTGATAACAATGGATGTATGGATTATTTACAAGCTCCAAGAGCCCCCAATAAATGATTAAAAAAAATAAAGAGTTCCTAAATCAAAGGCAACCGTTCCCTACTGGGAAGGCTATCGGGAGCAGTTTCTATTAGCCAACAAAATTAAACTTTTCATAAAACTGGAAGAAAAAAAAGTGAAGTTTCTTTTTAAGCATTTGCCTTCGACCAACTGGGTACCTAATCCGAATGAAATCCCCACAGACTTCCAGACGGACGATTTTGCTTCCAGAGAGGAGTATGATACTTTGCATAGTCACATTCAACATGTTCCTTAATCTGTAATTCACATGCATCATATATCGTGTCTGAGTTTCAAATCTGGGGAGCTTCACCAAGATGGTGGGTAGGCGGGGAGAATTCCATTATCTTTTAATTCGACTTTCCCCCATACTTTGTGAAGACCCCTTGGCTCCATGCTGGATAGCAGTTGGAAACTACCAACAGCTGCACGGGAGAAAGAGGAGGCTTTCTACTCCTGTAAAGAGTTACAGTCTTCAAAGCCCACAGAGGCGGTTCTACCCTGTCCTATCCCGATAGGACTGAGTCAGCTTCGACTCCAAGGCAGAGTTTGGGAAACTGGTCATGTGTGGCCAAGAGGACAAAGTAAAGCAATTCGATACCTTTATATGCTAATCAGGCAATGATCAGGACACGTCTGCTGCATGTGACATTAAGCGTGTTAACTCAGTAATGCTTGATCATTTAAGTAGGAGTAGGCTGGCTCCGGGAAAGGACGAGGAATTTGCCTACCGACTACTATAATGCACTGTGTATGGGAGGAACCTGCCACAGCTGAACCCTAAGGGTCCCAGTGGGTTCCCTGCTGGTGTGTAACTAGTGTTGTCACCAAGTTGGCTCTGACCCAGATCTGCCTGAACCCGAGCCAGCTTCGCAATTGTCCTGTGTGTGTCCATTGTTGCAGCTATGGTGTCACGTCACCTGGTCAAGGATCTTCCTTTTGTTGTTGACCATCTACTTTACCAAGCAGTGTCCTTTGCCAGGGACTGATCTCTACTGGTAACATGCCCAGACAACATACTGCGCCTGTTACATGGAATAGACTCCAGTGCCACCGCACAACTGTTCCTGTGTTAGAGCTCACTGTTGCAGCCACTGTGTCTTTCCACGCTTCCTCCTTCTGACTTCCCCTCCATTTCCAAGCTGGAAGCCATTTTCCCAGGGACTGGTCTATCCAGACAATACGTCCAAAGTACCGTATATACTCGTGGATAAGCCCAGTCCCCTCCCCCCCCACCCCCCGTACATTTTTAATGTTTTGTGGTAAAACTGGGTGCCTCGGCTGATATTCTGGTTGGCTTATACACAAGTATATGCGGTATTTAAGGTGTGCCATCCTTGCCTCTAAGAAACACTCTGGCTGTACTTCTTCCAGGACACAGCAGTTTGTCCTTTTGAAGTCCATGGTATTTTCAAGATTCTTCACCCGCACCACAATTCAAATGAACTGATTTTTCTTTTTCCTTATTCAATGTCCAAATTTCACATGCATATTAAGGCAGCGTGACACACTGGCTTGGGTCAGGCACACCTCAGTCCTCAAAGCAACATCTCAAAGGGTCTTGTGTAGCAGATTTACCTAATGCAACACGTCATTTGATCATTGACTGCTGCTTCTATGAGAATTGATTGTGGACCCAAGCGAGAAGACATCCTAGGCAACCTCAATCTCTTCTCCCTTCACCATGATGTTGTTACATACATGGTCCCGTTGTGAGGAGTTGGGTCTTGTTTATATAGTCATAATCTGTACTTAAACTGCAATCCTTAATCTTTATCAGCAAGTGATTTTGCGTTATTCACCACTTCTCTGTCAGTCTGTCACACTGGGGTGGATTGTGTGCTGCTGTGATGCTGGAAGCCATGTCACTGGTATTTCAAATGCCAGCAGCGTCACCCCCCAAAAAAACCCAGGTTTCAGTGGAGCTTCCAGACTGAAAGCCTTATGCAAATTGTGCCTTTAAAGAAGCTTCCTGTCCAGTTCCCTATGACACTCGGTTATGAGGGACTACATCCTTAGTATTCGTTAACCTGCTTTCCCAGCGTCAGAACAGGTCCCGGTGCTTTATGACATTGCTATAAAAACCGACAATCAGCCCCAAGCTGCCGTCACATGATCAAAGTGCAGGACACATAGTGGAATATTCAACAGAGGTGAAAACACTCACCCTATTAAAAGGAAAAAATAAACACCCCCCACAATTTAAACTAAAGCCAGGCTGCAGCGCCCCACCGTTGTTTGTGAGGACATGCTGGAACACAAGAGTCAGGGGTTGTTTTGGATTCAAACTGCAGGAACTGTTGGCCACTGCAAAGTTCAAAGGGCGTCTCACACCAAACCCACTGCTGTCACTCACACTGATCCCGACTCACAGCAACCCTGAAGGACAGAGGAGCGCTGCCCCCTTGGAGTCCAAGGCTGCTGCCTCTGTGGAAGTAGACTGCTACACCTTGGTCTCCCCGATGTGGCACTACATCTTTGAACCACTAACCCCCCCTATTTCTACCCGAGTGCTTGGCCTTTGTCCCAGCAGGGCTCGCAGGGCCGTTAGTACACCTAGACCATCATGAATGAGCACAAAGGAGCGGACCCCCCCCCCCACACACACACACACACACATCTGGGTAAGGACTACTTCACCGTGGCGCTGTCTTCTAGAACACTAAGTTGGGGAAAGACTCAGTGCTTTTAGGAGAAATCTTTTCAATAAATCACCTCAACAGTGCTCTTCCACAACATTCTGTGGCGATGTAATAACTTGCAGAAATGCAAAACAGTAAGACTGAGTTCCCCCAAAGCGGAATTATTATTTTACTGAAGAATATTGTCTGAAGCTGTTGTAACAAAGGTTATTTTGCCAATGAGCATCATCACTGATCCCCAAAGTAGTATCTCAGAGATAGATTAAACGTGTGGGAAAGAAATCACCTACAACTGTAGGCGGCCATATGTGATGAGTGCTCAGGAGAATCATCACACACAGGTGTTTGCCGAGGCTCTCCCTGTACCCTAGAATGTCAGAGTGGAAAGGAAAATCCCACAAGCAATGTGACATTTGCTTTCCTAGGTTCTGGGGCTGGTGGGGAAGAGGTTCACAAATGCACACGGAGCAGAGCACACAGAGATCTCTTTGCATGACTACGTCTCCATCTTCTTGAGGAAAGGATTCCAGACTCAGATACACTGCTAGCAACTTTAACATGGCAAAAAGAATTACAAGAAGACAAGTGGTAACATAAACTCAGATTCTAATGAACCATCATTACATAATTAGTATCGCAAAGGAAATAGTTATCTTGAACCATGCTTGTACATTGCATGTTAGAATCATTAATGTACTAACTCCCACTGTTGGATACAATCATTGTCTTCGTTATCATACAGCACCCCTGGCGGCACAGCAGTGAAGTCCATGGCTGCTCACCACAAGGTTGGCTGTTTGAATAAGTGTCTCCGAGGGAGAGAAAGACCTGGTGACATGCTCCCGGACAGACTACATCAGGGGAAACCCAGGGAGGCAGTTATATTGTGACGTGTGGTGGCTATGAGTCGAAACCAACTCAGTAGCACCTGGCAACAACTAGAACCACCGCCATGTTCATGGTTGCTTCTATGTGACGAATGTTGATGTTGCATCAGTGGGAGGTGGCGGCAGGACAACCCAGCAGTACTTACTTTGCTTCATGAGCTGGACGGCGAGGGGTGGACAGTTGGAGCACATCAAAGAAAACATGCGGACCACCATGATAAACATCCCCGAACTTAGAATGGGCGGCGTCACTACCAGGAGTTGCTGGACATTTGTAAGCAGATCTTTGGAGGCAACCTGCTGCAGTAAATTCTTCAGGAAAGCGAAAGAAAGAAGATATTGTCATGTGGTAGCCCAGCAATGTGACACGGTCATGAAGTCTCCACAAGGAGCCATACTCACCTCCTCATGTTGGAAGTTGTCCACCAGGCGTGCAAAACAAAGGCAAGTGCTTTCTACGGACTTTTTGTCCTGTTTGGGGGAAAGGAAAAAACCATGAGCCATACTCATGGTTGCCCACTGCTTCTCAACCCCAAACTCCGCCAGGCCAGCTCAGTCAGTACATGTTACCATTGGAAAGGCGAGAGAGCCGGAGGAGCACGTAGTAACACCATGATGCCAAAGTCAAGAGAGCATCCGGAAGGCCCAAGAAGAGACCGAGGCAAAGGAACACATGAGGAGGAACAGCTTTCTCTGTACTTAGGAAACCTCATCCCACACATGAGGTCATTACTCAGTTGCAATCAGCTGGATGGTACTTAACAATGGCTTTAAATCGGTGGGGTTCCTTATGAAAACAAGTAGCCTCTCTGAAAAAAGATTTCAAAGAATCCCCACCCATAAAAACAAAGAGTGTTTTACTGACCTGAGGTTGGTTAGAAAGTGTGCCTCCCTAATGCTATAAAAGGATGTCAGACGTAAAAGCTAGCTTTGTTTGTGTAGCAAAGCCACGGATTTGGGTAACATGAAGCCCTAGAGCAGGGGTTCTCAACCTTCCTAATCCCTTGACCCCTTAATACAGTTCCTCATGTTGTGGTGACGCCCCAACCATAAAATTATTCTCGTTGCTACTTCATAACTGTAATTTTGCTTCTGTGGTGAATCGGGCAACCCCTGTGAGAGGGTCGTTTGACTTCCAAAGGGGTTGTGACCCACAAGGTGAGAACCGCTGCCATATACTCTGCTTTTTATCCGACAGCACTAGTCAGGCAAGCCTACCTCCTAGATTCAAGTCCAGCCTCAGCCCCAGCCCCAGTCTCAGTCTCTGCTCACTTCTGTCTTTTACTAACACATCCCTATCCTGTCTGCCCACCTCCACGCTGACCACTCATCATCAAATACCCTTAATACCTACTGAAATCATCAATAACCCAAGATACCCCACATCATGAGAATACTGTTCAAGTCAACAAACCCATGAAAACTATGTAACAGCACCCAGTACAGTAGTGAAGGGTAAGGATGATGGATTAACACAACATCTACACCAAGCCGGAAGATTTGGGATACTCCGAGAAACAACCGACCAGCCAGCAGCGTTCCCGACAGAGACCAGGCTCTTCTTTTACCTGGTGGGTCAGCCTTTGGGTGAGCAACGGAAGAGAATCTGCCACAAAGTGAAATTCATCTGGTGTGATGCTCTGGCAGCAATTGGCTGCAATCGCGAGTGCATTCCTTTGGGCGTTTATGCTGAAGAACTCTAGATACAGCAAACAGTCTGCCAAACCACCCTACAACAGAGAGAAACCATTTTTACAGCGAAGACATCACCCATCCCAGCAACAAAAACAATCAGCTCCAAAGGAGCCATGCACATTATTTGAGAAACATCTTGTGATCAAGGAGTGGGTGGGTCCGAATGTGGATCTAAAAGCCAGTCTTAGGGAACAGGGCCTTACCGCTTGTAGAATGGCTTTGCTGTGTCTGCGTGACAGCATTTCCAAGGCAGTCAAGGCCTGCTCCGCCACATCAATGCACTGGATCACTTGCAGCTGGAACAGAACACCAGTTACCACTGTATTCAAGTGCATTTCTACTAGTATAACTTCTACAGGAATGAACTGGGCTTTTCTGTCTTCCTTTTGCCAATTTCCATCAATCGCTACTGCCTCTTACATGAAAGCCACCAGAGGAACCAATAACTGATGATCAAGACACAGACATGCAGCCAATACCCTGTCCTTCCAGCTACTTTGCTCCCGCTTAAGCGAGAGAAAACTATGCTTACATGGAGAATAAACAAAATCCAATTACAAACATGAAATTCTCCTATTTTAAAATAATTGTTTTATATTAAAAAAAAAACCTTTTCTATCAGAATTCTATATTCTCCAGGTTTGTCAAGTAATAACATTTGTTCTTGTTCACTGAAAGGGGAGAAAAAGGCTATGAGTATAACAGTCCCAAGCCAGAACCTACCACAGACCCTATGAAAAACCCGCTTCCCAGCAACTGCCCTTCCCTTGGTGACCTTGAACAAGAGGCTTTGGCCATCTCAGCTTTCTCAGCTGTAAAATCAGGGTTTAAATAGCAATCAGCCACATTTTTTTTTAGCTATGAGATTATTTTTTAATCAGGTGTGTTAAACTCATGTCTGAGATGTTATTTTAATTTGGTAATTGTTATTATTAAAATTATACAAGTGGGTTAATTTTATAAATGATCCATTAGCTTCACTGTTAAGTTTTTGGTCTGCAGAAAATGAAGTATTTTTCTGGAACGCTAGCTAAAAATATATAAAGTTTATTTAGAGATACAACACTACAAAAGGCAAAGTCTTTTAAAGTAGACTTACAAATTCTATGTTCTACTCCAGAATTTAAATTCAAGGATTCTCAATTTGATTTCCTTATGTCTGCTTCTAAGGAGCCCTAGTGGCATTGTGGCTTACTAGGATGCTAACTGCAAAGTCAGCAGTTTGAGCCCACGCGTGTCCCATAGGCTTGGTGTTTGGCTTATGTATGTCTGCTTCTGAGCAAGTTAGAGAGTTCGTACCTTTTCGAGAAAGACAGGAATTGCATCCACTACAACTGCAGATGACCTGGGAAGCGCTTCCATCATGTATGTTAAGGCTCGACAGGCATGGTTCATCTAGAAAACAAGACTGTGTTTGTTTTCTTCTGACTAAAAAACTCAAAATGTGGAGAGCTTTAAAAGTACAGTATGTACTTACAATGTCAAAATTATGCTCCATCTGCAGTAATGTTATCTGTGGAGAAAGATTTTAACAAAATATTAGAAGACAGATTCTCAGAGAAAAGTTCTAGAAATGTGAGCTCCTCTTCCACTTCAACTGAAACGGGGTCATTCATGACATTTACCACATGGAATAAAGACAGAGCCAGTGTGCACACAAGGTCTGACTCTAGTTAGATGGCACCGCCCGCAAGCATGCACGCACGCATTTTCTCTCTCTGCGAATCATCACTACAGGACCCCAGAGACTGTGGGTGTGGGGTGAGAAGTGCTCAGCTGCTCAGACCCAATGAGCCACTCTCTGAGCCTTTGGAGTGTCACTATGAGTTGGAATCAACTCGACAGCAACAGGTTTGTGGTTTCTAATGCCCACTCAGACACATAACATACTTCTCAAGAGTCACCAAGTGCCCACAGCATTTGCTATACACATGACCCGACCAGAAATGCCCTGTCTGCAGAGATTCAGGACCTAAGCTTAAAATGCCTGTGAAGAAGCTTCTCTGCCAGCAGAGAAAGGCCACACTGCACACCTGTCAAGTATACTGTAGCAGCATGCAGTCGGGGATTTGAACACAAGATTGCCCACACCACAGATTAGGAGCTAACCCAAAAGCCAAGGTAACATAATAGTAGAATCATCAGTGGACCTAAATATATAGTTTTATTTTCAGTTGCTTTTATGTGTGTGGAAAATAAGTTAAGCAGACTTCAGTCTTTTTTTTTTTTTAAACTAGGCAATGTAAACCTCTTACATTTCTTATCCTGAAGCAACCGAGAATTATCAGATAAATTTCCTAGTCAGACAGCTATCCACTCGCTATCTGTGGGTTCAATGGAAAACCTGAATTGAAGCAGTACTGTAGCCTTCAATCAAATGAGTAATTACAACAATAAACATCAGGTATTTTAACACAGTTCTTAGTTTCTCCTCAAAGTAGCTCTACATGGATATGGAGTTTAGTCCTGAGACTATTATGTTGTTTAAATACCCCACCCACACACACACAAACACACCCACACAACCCATTTCATGTTCTAACCAGTCCTGCTTCTACCTCCAGTCAGCCACTTTAACCACCCAAATTCAAAAGCGTTGTCACATTAATAGAAAAAGACCACAATCAGAAGGAATTGCAGTAAACCGACCTTCTTTACCAAAAATATTGACAGCCATATAAATTTGTGGTGATAAATATATTAAATCGTCATAAAAGATGAAGCTGGACAGCTCATTAACAACTACTATTAATAGCATGAGTTGACTTGCATGGGTCTATTAAGCACTTAAATCTAATCAACAACCAGCAAATTAAGTAATGTGAAAAACGTGTCCGCATTTTGGCCTAGATTTAATGACTTCTTTATTTAACTAACAAAAACTGCTTTCTAAAGAGAAGATGGTATAAAGTGAACTAGAGCTTTATTGCTATTTATGTTTAATGACCCCCCAAAAAAGTTTGATTCATATCATAGAACCCACTACGGAGCAAATCATGCAACAGGCAAGAATAGCAAGAGACAGACTGAGAGCCTACCCCCCTGAGTTGCACAGGTTACCCGCTACACCCGCCCCACTCCCATCATCCTGATCTGGTCATGGGTCCAATGAGACGGTCTAATGTGTCACCAGATCTTCATGCTTTGGCTAACAGTATTGGAGACGAAGAAAAGGACGTAACATTTATTTTTACCTTCTAAGATAAGATGTGCCATGAATATAATCGTAATGTTTGTTTTAGACTAATGCTAATATTTGACTCTTTTAATGTCCAATCTTAAAGTATTGCCAATTCCTTTCATTTTGGACTAAGAAAATTACCAAACCACTAGATTAATGTCATATGGCATGACAAGTGCCTACATTTTGCCAATGGCAATGTGTCTTCCTATTATTTAAAAAAAATTTCTAAGTAAATGTGCTTGACACCATGGATGGATGGATGGATTGTGATAAGAGTTGTATGAGCCCCCAATAAAATGATTTTTTTAAAAAAGAATATTAATCAGGTCGAAATATCAATTTACAGCTGCATCGAAAGTCATTAAGGTTATTTATTTACTGATTTTGGGAGCGGGGGAGATGACGACACTTAGCAAGTAAACTTTTAAGCTAGAAGGACCCATATGGTGGTTAGCTTGATCTCTGTGCCTTGCACACAATTATCAAACGAGGAAATTTGGGGGGCAACAAAGACAACCAAAAATGAACTTCCTATTACTGCCTCATAAGTTGGAGAGGGGAGGCAGGGCATATAAACTTAGGCACAATTAGAGTCTGGGTCCTACTTACAGGGCTAGCAACTTAAAATACAGAGTCGATCATAACAGTATCAAATCTGGGGTACCTGGTTCACCATGAAATGGTTCATTAAATAGACTTATCCACCAATCTAATATACCCATGAAATAAAAGCATCAAGTCACTCTCTCCTATCAACTTGTTCTGCTGTTTTCAATCATTGCGAGATGCTCTCATGCATCTGTTGTGTTTTTGGCAGCAATGAGGGTCACCACGGGGCAACTACGCTTACCAAAGCTGGAACAACACTCTTGACGGGAAAGCCTCCCAAGGTCTCCTCGTTGCCCATGACCAACAGTTGACACATTTCGATAACAGCCTGAAGTTGCTGACTCTCATCGGTGGCTTGTAGTCCTTGAAGAAGCTGCTGGGCCTTAGAACCTTCAGCGGAAGACACAGGCATTTTTACACAGTGCGGAAAATGATGACCTGCTGGAAACTGTGATTTCTACCACTTGGGAGAAGCTCGGCCAGGAAATGGCCACCAATCTTCTTTGATCTTAATTAAAGGCCAGGTCGATACTGGAGACAAGATACATGGCTGATACAGTCAAGGCAGAATTAAATAAACTGGATCAATGCTGCTGCCTTCAGTGAATTCAGAGTTTTTGGTGTATTTTTGCCTAAGTGAGTGAAGTTGGCCGGGTTCTTCAGATGAGAAACAGAAAATATAATAATCACAAAACTAGTATGTAATGTTTCTTCTACCTGCTATTTAAAAAATAATAGTTAGCAAAAGTGTTCCTTCTGCAATAAGAGTCAAATAAGCAGTATTCCCAGACCTCAAATGAACCAGCAAGGACTTCCCTCAAAACCTATACTGTAATAAATGAAGTATGGTGGCAGTATGGGGGATGGTGTGGGGGAGTGTTTTGTAAAGTACCAAACTGACCGGGCTCTGCACCTCTTATTTTCTGTGCAGATTCAGGCCGCCGGAGAGCCACTCCTGTTGAGACGGCTCACTCACCACTGCCCAGAGAACTGGGAATCAGTTCACAGTTAACCACGAGAGGAAAACAGGTTGTTGGGACTGTCACAAGCAACACCTACGAAGTGATTCTTTCCTTGCTCACCTTTCTTAAAACCACACTCAAATTCAATGCGTGCTTAAGAAATGTATAACTGATGTCACCTTGAAGCCTATCTCTTCACACACATGAGTATTTTACCATACCCACTATCAACATACTGAAAATATAATAAGAAACAAGGTTAGAATATAAAACAATTTCAAAAGGTAATCGAAATCAATTAAAAATGAATAAAAAGCAATAACAAAATATCTACATTAATCTGTCTAAAACTAACACACTATCTAAAGCACTTAAAAAAAAAAGACTACAGAAAATATTTCTGAGTCTGGAAATTGGCCAACAGAAAGTTTCTAAACTGGGCTGAGCATGAAAATTCAGAAACAGAGCCAAAATGAGAACAGGACCAGAGAGACATCCAGAATGCAGCTCAAAGTCTGAGAACGAAATGAAACCTGCATATGATCTTGATACTCTTGAAAGGAAATAATGAAGCAGAAATATTATTTTGAAGAGACAATGACCTAGCCTTTCCTAAAAGCTACCAACCCCTACCGGCCGAAAAAAAAGGCTCAGTGGACCCTCAGCCAAAACAACAAAATCACCAAGGCCCAATGTAATTGAACGACTCACATTTAAAAAGAAAGCAAGCGAGCCTTGACAGAAGGCGGAAAGAAAGATGACCTTGCCCTGAAGGGCGACAGGAAGACTTGTAAGCAGAAATTACAGAAGCCAGACAACATCAGAAAGAGCTAACGGAGGCTGAATTTCCTTAACGATGCAGGATCAAACACGAATTTGGGAAATAAAAGCAGAGCTCAGTCAGCTAAAGGGGAACAAACAGTCCCTGTCACAGAAGGACGGCACTACAGAAGGGGACGCAGAGCACGGAGGATACAAAGGGGCTTACAGATTCCAGTTATCTTTGAATTCCATTTTTCAATGAACTTTTTGAAAAGTTCTCAAATATGTGTGGGCAGATATTTTAAAATACCAAAACAGCAACGTCTTTTTAAGTCTAACATAAGTTCCGTATGTACTTGAGTATAAACCGACCCGAGTTAGCAGTCGAGGCACCTAATTTTACCACAAAAACTGCATTTAAAAAGTGCTGAAAAAACTCAGCTTATACACGAATGTATATATGGTAAAAGTAAAATTAGAACGAGCAAAGGATGGGCAGGAGTTAAAAAGAGTGAAACTGCTAGGTTCTAGTGCTGGCTGGGATATGGTAAAGTAACAGTTTAAGTTAAGCCAGAGAGCAACGACGGTGAGGATGGCGGAGGCCAGGGCACTAATCTGATCTGTTGTACAGCGGATCACCACGAATCTGCAATGACTGCACAGCTCTGAACACCACACCACCATGGTACCAAAACTAGTGGTCTGAACCTACTAGTTGCTCAAACGGGGAAAAGATCTGAAAGGTTTTTCCATAAAGATGTCCACGTTTGGGAGCCCTGTGGGGCAGTTCTATGCTATGCTACAGGGTCAGGATGAGTCAGAATTAACTCCATAATAGGAGGTTTGGTTTGGGTATTTAATAAAATCAGTAATATGAGCGAATCCCTCTTAGACACTAAAAGATATGTATAAGGATGTTTAAATAAAAAGTTGAGAAGATCTGAAAAAATACATACTTACAATGTTTGATGAATCCAAAAGGGTATATCTTCAAAAAATCTCCACACCACATTACATTCTATTGTCAAGCTCAAACTAGCAGGAGTGCAAACCGGTACAACTCCCCCAAAGACAGTTCTAGAATGCCAGCACCACTTGCCAGGCATTTACCCATTCACACATTGGCTCCACTTCCAGAACAATTTTTTGAAGACAACATTGCAGAAAATACAATGGTTGTATATGTCACTGTACCAGAACCAGTAACCCAAACCCAGAAATAATCCTAATGTCCAGTGACAGGGACCGCTGAAACCAACTATGTCCCGCGCGCTCTCTCTCTGGCTCACTCAATCGCTCACTGTGCGCAGTGGCGAGAGACTCCAAAAGCATAAACGTTCACTTGGCTCTCCAGGGCTCTGCAGCAGGGTCTGCTACCCGAGTCCTGAGGGATGTGGCAGCAAGAGACAAACAAGAACAGAAACACCAGCTGCAAGGGGCCGAGTCAGTAACAGAAAAGGGCATGAGGTACATGTGCACACATATTGAGTCCACACGGATACATGGCAGTTTTTTAAATGCATGGAATGATATAAATTTAAATTAGTAAGGTCAGAAGTCACAGACTTCCATAATACTTTAGAAAGGTGTGAGATTCAACAAGTCTTAAAGAGTGTAAATAGCCTACTGAGTCTATGAAGCATTATCAATGAAGCCATAAAACAAAAAGAACATTTAAGTTTTGTTTAAGGAAGGTGGAGGATTTCACTGGATGTCATACCATTGCTGGATGTGCTATCAATTGTAGTTATTGGTTAGGTTGAGACGTCAGGAGTCACTGTGATGTCTACTATAGAGAAGCTAGACGGGCTTTAATACATTAGTGTGATGTGTCGAGTGTTGGATAATTCTACAGAGTAATCTTTTCCTCACACACACATATTTAATGAGGGGCTCCCAAAAGTTCAGGGGAAAATGAAATGAAAAGACAATGGAATTTTTGAAACCCCCTAAATAGGTTGGCTGTTTTATGCTTGAAATCATTAAACCATAAGAAAACTCCAAGATTTCCATCTACGCAAAGAGGCAAGCAGATGCCATAATGTGAACCACATCTTTCCACAGTGCAAAGCAGCACATAGCAGTCCGCCACCACCTTAGTGCAACCTTGTCTCTAATGAGTCTACCTTAGCTTGACACACACACAACAAAAGCAAAAGAAGCTAGCCTGGTTGTTAATATTTAAGATGAGAATATGCATGCAGTTCCTGGAAACAACACTTCTATCAACAGTAATCAGCAGTACAACTTGCACTTAATTAATTATAAGGATTTTTAGAGGACAAATTTATTATCAGAATTAACTTACTGGCTCCACTTCCAATTGTTCTGTGGAAAAGTTGTGACATCCGAGGACCAAGAGGACCAAACAGATGAGGAGGAAGACCCCTGGCCTCTAACAGAGCTAAGGAAAAAAAAGAGGGGGGATTGGGGGAGGGGAGGAGGGCAAACTGAGTTGGTTTAATGCAGCTGATCTTATTCATCTGAGTTAATCAATGCTACTTTCCATAGCGAACTTTGAGGTGCTATATTAAACGTTCAAGACCACAAATATAGGAATAGAATTAGAATCTATTAAAACACCCATATTTCAACCCTAAATTATCAGCAGAAACTCACAGAAACAAACAGTCCCAGAAAAACCCAAGGTACGAAGTGCCCTTGTGCCTTATTTCCCTCTGTTGTTATATCCCAATGAGATATTGGTCATGATACCTTCTAACGCATGGAAAACAGTACATTATTTGTATCCATTCCAAGCTCTAAAGCGAGGAAAACTATGTGTTCATGAGAGTTCTCAAAAGCGAGCTGTCATCTGAAAACTGACCTGTTAATGTACCTTATACATACCACAATAGAATCGATTGTAAACTACTTTAGATAGAAGAATTTATCTATCCATTGGTCAAGATCATGCACATAATGTAAACTTGGTTACTTTAAAAAGTAAACTCCTAAGTCAAATCTGTAATTTAGAGATACAATGTACATTTAATTGGGAAAAGGTGACAAGAGACAAAGGAGCACGGCCCCAAACCACCCTCTGCGATGTGTTCGGATCACCACGTTCCTGAGAACAGCATATTATGCACCTTTTCCAAGCTGCTTCTCGATTTGTTACAATAAATCCTGCTACAAATACACCACAAAAAGATGATTTTAAAAGCAGCAATAGGTATAAGGGCTCTCTCCTCAAGTTAAACAGTAGAAATTAAGAGACAGATCGACCATACCCAATTCAGTGGGAAAGGGGGAAGGTGCAGGTGTTGCTAGATTATGGTCAGATAAACTTATCAGTTAATTTCCACAATGATCCTTAAGTCTCTTGTAAGCACAGTAAGTATCTTTTTTTTTTTTACCTTGTAATCGTCCCATCTCGGAATCATCAGATTCACTCTCCCCAGAGGTGGTCATGCCAACGGCCCCTGCGACAGAACTGGAGGCTTCGGGAAGGAGAATGAAAAAGAGAGAAGAGAACAGGTTAGGGGCCCAGTTTATCTTACAAAAGGAATGCAGGCAGGCCACGACACTTGTCCGTCTCTCTTGTAACGCTCACTCAGCTGTTCTTCCAGTCTTCCTATGTGCCCACTTCGGTGAACGTATGGATGGCTCAACTGCCTTAGTACTAAATCATTCCATTTCAGCTCTACACGGTTTGTGACAGATCCAAGTCTTTGAAACAGTTTCTGAGCTATTAAGTCTTGTCCTGAACTACTACTCTACTGACAGGCAATGAAGGAAGACTGCTGCACAAGGAGGGAAGTTAATAGCTTATACATGAACCAGAAGCAAAACAAAAAGAAAACTGGCATCTGGGGGAAATGCTCTATTAGGTGGTTGGTGTGCCTTGTTCCTGGGCTATAGTCCTGACACAACCACTCAGCCACCTTCTTCAACCTAAGTGTATGCTAAAATGGCACCCTTCTATTCCCAAGCCAAAGTCTAGAAGGCACAGAGCCCCACTAGCAGAATGAAGTGAAAAGATAGAACAGTAAAATGTCAACTCAGAAGGATTCCGCTCCCCAGAACACTCACAGCAATTTCTGGTCCGATTATGAAGCTGACAAGGAGGTAAAGTTATATTCACAAACCATATGTTTCCAGTCCCTCGACGTGTTTGTTGAGTCTTAAACCATGTGGTTTTTGTTTGTTTTTTTAAACAAGCATTCCATTTGTGAAGGGCAGCATCACCCACAATACCGTGAGCCATGCACACACTACAGAACAGTTGCCACACAGAGTCCATCCATCATTGTTGTTCAAGAAGCCCACCGACAACACAGGCATTATGGGGATGCTCTGAAGAACGAGATGACTGCCAACAACCAGCAACTCCGTGTTTTCCTAAGACTTTTCTTGACACATCAATATGTACTTTTTTAACAGCCCTGATGGTGCAGTAAGTTAAGCACTGGGGCAGTTGACTACACGCCAGAGGTTCAAATCCACCAGCAGTTAGCTGCTTAACAGGCGACAGATGAAGCGTTCTGCTCCTGTAAAGAGTTACAACCTTGGAAACCCAAGGGGTGCAGTTCTACCCTGCCTTATAGGGTCACTATGAGTCAGAATCAACTCCACAGGAATAAGTAAGTAAGCATGATTTGGTGGGGGTTTAAAAATATTCCTGGGGAAAATTGATGGCATAGAATACTGGTAGGCAAACTGGCTCACCAGCCAAATCCAAGACCCACATCCACGTTTGGATTCATGAAGCTGCTCATGGGATACAGGCAGAGAGCTGGGTAGCAGCAGCAGAGACTCTGAAAGTGTACACAGAATGAAATATTAACGGGGCCTTTCCTCTATACATCATGACACTAAGCCCCAGTTTAGGACGACGGGCTAACTAGAAATTGTAATATTAAAGGTTATCAGAATCCGTATGAGGAAAAAAGCATTGGCTTAATGCTACTTAGAGATGGCCTTTAGGAAATGCTTGTTCGGCATAGAACTGTGTGTTCCTAACAATAAAGTCTCCCAAAGAGGCATTAGAAGGGCTAGCACACTCCAGAAGGCACATGAAGAAGGTTGTGTGCATATCCAAAGCCAGATAACTAACTGTGGGTCAGAGGTTTGAACCCAGGAGGCCTGGCTTCATAGAGCCTTAACAGATCAGCTCCTTAAATACATTCCTCAGTAGCACTTTTAAATTCAAACACAGTCGCCAATTATGAGTTGAATTAATGGCTCAATTTGTTAAACTGATCTGTGTGCCTGTTTTCAAATTCTGCCAATTATGTGAGCAGTAAAGTGCAAAGTTTAAAAAGGAGAAATAGCTGGGTTCTGGAACCCATACACTGGAAATCAAATCAGAACATACTCCATGTGAGGTAATGCTGGTTTCTTTAATCTAGCAGAGGTTCAGCTGTACTTCTGAAAAATGGTGAAGACCTATAGTCTGTCATTTTAAAGGTTTCTATTTTAAGTTAAGTGGCGTAGTGAGTTATACACATTGCCCCAGCTAACTGCTCCTCTAGAGCAGTCAAGGCTTTCTACTCCATAAAATGTTGGTCTCAGAAACCCACAGGGGCAGTTCTACCCTGTCCTCTAGGGTCACTATGAGTAAGAATTGACTCAATGGCAGTGGGTTCAGGTTTTTAAGTTACTTCTTACACATATTGCTCTAATTATTTGTTATTCATAAAGAACGAACACTTCAAATTGGACGGCCGCAGAAGACCTTAACAAAGACATTATAACTTGTGAAGACGTGTATTTTAAAATGCTCTTCTAGCTCTATTATAGTGGTGCCACAGAAACAAGGAACTGTTCTGACAGTTTTTGGACCCAGAGAGAAAGGGCGGGATTCCTTGTCATCCTGTTTGTTGTTGTTCTCTGGACAAGGAGACCCTAGACCCTGTCTTAGCAACAAGATCCCCTCCTGCCTCTTTAAGTTGAGCTTAGCTCTATGATTTCAGGGCAAGAAAGGCCTCGAAGGCTCTTCAATGATTCAACAGCTGCACACGCAGTGAGAAGAGGACTGTGGTGAAGAACTCATTGGGAGTGGGCTTTAGTTCCAGTTTTAAAGTGGTATAATGTTAAAGAACAATTTAGACATGTTACCCAAAGACTTGCTGTATTCAAATTTTCAAAAATAAGATAAGCCACACAAACCTAGCCTTTGGGCTAATTTCAATACAAGTGGCTGGCTGCACAGTTACACAGGTGAGAAAATGCAATCACTTGATACTAGCTGGGGGCCGTATTCTTGAGGGGCAGCTTCAAATCTCGAGTTAAGCAGAGCTGGCACAAAACTTATGTCCAGAGTGAGGTATAAAGTAGAATAATCTGCAGGGGAAACCCAATGCCAGACTCTAAACAGGTCTCAATTTTTACAACACAACTGTTCTTTTTCCTGTCTAGTCTTAGCCAACACTCACAGTGCTGCGCGAAACAGTTTACATTAACACGCTTGAAGGAAAACATGGGGAAAAATTAAAATATGCAGACAAACATTTTATTTTAGAGCTTTTTACATAAAGGGGTTTCAAAAGTTGGAGGGAAAAGTCTATTAACTGTACCTTTCATTTTTCCATGAATTTTTTAAGCTCCCTCGCACTTCAACTGAAGCAAATGAAGACAGAATACTATAAAGCTTGTGGGGTTCATTATTTCCTTGCCAGGCACAGCCTGGAGCCGCCTCAACCTTCCTAATGCCGTGACCCTTTAATATGGTTCTGCATGATGTGGTGACTCCCAACCATAAAATTATTTTCGTTTCTACTTCTTAACTGTCATTTTGCTACGGCTATGAATTGGGCGACCCCTGTGAAAGGGTCGTTCGACCCTCAAGGGGGTCGCAACCCACAGGTTGAGAACCACTGGCCTAGAGTAGAGCTTTCCTGGGAAAGGCTTTTCTAGAGGGTCATGAAAACTTGGAAGAGGACCTAAGAACATGATCTTAGCTCAACAAGGGGCCCAGCACCAAGTAGTATGGAAGCAAGGTGGTGGCTATGGTACCAAGCAGAACTAGTGTGGGAGAGAGGCGCTGACCAAAGGGACTGCTTTCCTTTGCCTACCTTTTGGGTCTCCATGGGTCGAAATCGTCTGAGAGCAGTCTGGACCCAGCCCATTTCTCACGTTAAACCAGCCACAATGCAAACTGTAGGTGGCAGGGCACAGGGTTTCCTCTCGCTATTTTAGCATCAGAATGAGATGCCAGGTTCTGACTAGGTCACAAACCAGAGGAGAGTAGGCCGGTGTCTGCCTCTGGCTTTACAGGCAGTGTGGAGAAGATGGTGCCCTCAGCTCCTAAGGTTGTTTCCAGAAAACCTGATGTAGCCAGACATGAGGAGATGACTTTGTGCTGCCAAGTGAACCAGCAGGAACCTGTAGCACATATTTTGACGGCAGAGTTAGTTATCAACAATCTAGTCTATGTTAACAAGACTGGCAGAGCCAGGGTGACATATGTGGGCTTAGCAAAGGTGGAACAATGCTTTCACGTCTGCATGTGAAAAAAGACATTTTCATTTCAGTGAAATCACTGAAATGAGTCAGAAAGATTTGAATGAGGGGTGGGGGTGGAATTGACTCTAGAGCAACCACATCAATTTTTTAAAAAGTGATTCATCTCAAAGTGACTATTTTCAAATTAAGGGGGTCTTATACCAACTGCAGAGCAGGCCAGGTACTTGCAAAAAATGGTTCCAACAGTGATCAAGTTGCCCACTACCATCTACCTAAACTGACACTAACTTAGAAGTTTTCCATTTCCCCTAGAGTCCTGCACATCACTGATAATGTATCAGCTTCTTTCCCCGTGAACAACACTTCAGCAAAGACTCAGGTACCAGGCCCTCTACACCACACTGGAGCCATGGATGCTCCTGTCCAGTGTCAGTGATGGCCGGACACTTTCCTTTCATCCTCAGCTACAGTACACAGGGAGCCCAGATGGTACAGTATTCAGGTGCTCAGCAGCTAATTGAAAGGGGGGGGGGTGGCACAGTCTGCTTCCGGAAAGAAGATTACAGCCTTTGAAAGGGGGTGTTGGTGTGTGCAAGCGGTCTGGTTTGTTGGCAATGGAAGATAAAAGTGGAAAATGTGCTTGCTAATATGAAGAACAGCAAAACTCTTGAGGGAGTCCTGGGTGCCCAACAAGCCACGTACTCAGATGCCATCGGAAAGGTTGGATCCACTTTGACTGGCAGTCTCCTGAGAAACCAGCCACCTGCAAACCCAGTTCTACTCAGACGCACATGTGGGGTCACTATGAATCGTAGAAACTTGTGCTCGTGCTCAGCAAGGCAGAGCCCAGTGCTGTCTGCCTCCCAGGTGCATGGACCAGGGAAGAACTGCTTGTCCACCCATGCATCCTGGTCTCTGAGCATATCCGTATGAACACAATTCTCATCTAACTAGAGCGAAACAGGATGGCCTGCTACAAACGTGTGCTTCCTTTGAACAGCCTGGCTTGAGAGCCACACCCGTTGCCCGGAACCCTAGGCAAGCATTATCTGCTGTTTGTCTCTGAGCAACCGTAGTACTCACTCCTGCCAGCAGGCTGTATTACATGTGAATGAAAGAGGGGTGCCGAATACTGCATGAGCATGAGCAAGTATCGTTACAGCAATGAGTCTATCTGATGGCCCACTTTGCAGCTCCATCTCTGCCACCTTGTAGAGAACTGCATCCCACTCCCCTTTCCAACTTCGGCATGCAAAGACTAGGTCGGTGTGGGAACAGAGGGGGGGCAGGCATGTCAGGTGCAGCTTCAACGACTTGCATGTGCAAGACATATGTGCTGCCTGAAACCTACCATTTAACCTTTTAGGACAACGATTCTAGGAAAAAATGATCCCCAAATGGCCTGTTCCACCAACATAAATTCTACAGGCCCACCATATAATACAGTGGTTCTCAACCTGTGGGTCACGGACCCCTTTGGGGGGGGTGTGTGTCAAACGACCCTTTCACAGGGGTCGCCCGATTCACAACAGTAGCAAAATGACAGTTATGCAGTGGCAATGAAAATAATTTTATGGTTGCGGGGCCACCACAACATGAGGAACCGTATTAAAGGGTCGCGGCATTAGGAAGGTTGAGAATTACTGATATAATAGATCATACAACTGGAGAAGCAGGGTGGTTAAGTAGAAATGCTACTAAGAATACATGCACAGGGCAATAGTGGACACATAAGAAGCTCTCCATCAATTTAGGATGCAGAGGAACGCAAGAAATGAACACATTTTCTAATACTAAGAAACAAAACAGGAAGGAGCTGGTTCAAAAAGAAAGACATGTAAGCCTGCATCTGGACCTCATTAGGACGCATAGCTATCTGTTCACAATGATGAGTTGCTGAAGCTTTTTTGAATGAGGTGGCCACGACTACTACGTTTTACAACCTGTCAGCCCCCGTGAACGGCTGTGTGTGGCTAACTGGCAATGCTGAGTGCTGGTGGGTGAGAGACAGGCCCAACTGCTGTTGTGCTAAGATAGCAAGACAAGTACAAACATAAGCATCCTTCTTTTAAGCTGTTCAGAATCCAATGAAACACATTATTTTTCAGGGAAGACAAAATAACCATTTCTCCCTCAGAGCTGCTGGTGGTTTCCAACTGCCAACCATGCGGACCACAGCCCAACATGTAACCACTACTCCACCTGGGCTCCTCTGACTCTAATTAGTGTAAGTGGGATTTGGTTAAAAAAAAAAATTATCAATGGTAGTGGTCCATATGTATCACATTCAATGAACCAAAAGACCAACCTATAAAGTAAAAGTGGGGAGTTGGAATTACTAAAAAGTAAAAGAAGCACCAAGTGTATTTGCTGGGAGCCTTGAACACACCTCTCCCCTCGGCCCACTCTGTTCACTACACCTGGTACATATACAAGTCTGTCCATCTTCAAAGGGAGCTGCCACGAGCCACCCCACCCCACAGGATAGCCTGGAGCCAGCATCCATCTACCTGTAGCCCCTTGGGGAGCTTCGTCTGTCCGTGCAGCTGAAGAGTTGACGGTCTCCGGGTTGCTCTCTGGGTCGGCCATTTTCTCCTGTCGACGAGCTTCAGCTGCTCCTCTTTTGCCCAGGCCAGAGCCTCGCCGACTAAGAGAGAAATGCACCATCAGAGGCAGTGGACCCATTGAACCTGGGGCATCATATAGGCAGCACAAAGCTCAGATTCATGGGGCACAAAGCCAGTGTCTTCATCACATTGTTTTTTTCTTACAGAAAAGACTGCTGTAGACAATCACTATGTCACAGCTGGCAGGTGGTAGATTTCAAATGCCTCCAAGTTATGATAGCACATTCCCAGTGAAACCAGAGTTGTGGTCATTCTCACAGACCACAATCTTAAACACTTCCAACTCAAGAGAAAACACCCTACGCTCGTGCAAGGAAATTTCTTTGGAGTAAGGGATGACCAGGTCCAGGGTAAACAGTGGCTTGGCTGAAGACTAACTTAATCTTACAGGGAGGAGAGGGGATGAGAAAGGAAGGCACAAACAGATTCCCACCAAACAACGCCAGTCCTTGAAGTAAAGAAGAGTTAATGTTTGTAAACAAAGACCACTGTCAACTGCTTAGGATAAAGGCAGACTGGGAGAGGGGACAAAAGAATTCCTCATAAAGCAAGTAGTATTTTAGTGATCGTGATATATTCTTTTTGGTTTTTACTAAATTCCTTCAGTTATTTGCAACATGAGAGATTTTAAAGAGCAGCCTTCCAGAGTCACTTAAGAAATGCGGAAAACACGGAACCACACCAATTTCAAGAGATGCTTTTCTTTAATGATAAAAAAGTGCTTTCGACTAGTCTAGTGACAATCTAATGTAATGCTGCCAAGTAAAGGCTTCAGAACAAAGAAAAGCAGGCCAGTTGCTATCTATGTAAGTGAAGCCTCAGATCTACCTGAGAGGACTGGACCCTGCTATTAATTAGAGAAAAATCTTCCCCAACAGGGCTTTGATAGCCAATCTTTCCATCACTGGAAACACTCTAAATCCAATTTATAAAGCTATATAAGCTAGTGAGAGTCCCCCTAAAAAATCCATGCCTAGGGACCAATATGGTTGCTGCCCTCAAGAGTGACAGTGGACAGATACAGGCACGCCCGTGAGTGGTTGAGGCTCTTGGCGAGTTCCAGCAGGTGGGCACAGAAGCCCAAGGAGAGCATCTTCAGGCTCTCAGAAAGGGCTCCGAGGACAAAGGAAAGGCAGCAGCAGCAGCAGCAGGGTTGGACCATTAGATTCCAGAATCCCTGACTTCATATGAACATGAAAGCGGATTTTGAACCACAGTGGATTAGTTTCTAGCTCAGATCTCAATTCTGAGCAAGAAAGCACCCCAGCGCTGAAGAACGGCTTCTCTGGGAGGTCTTCTGAAAAGTGTTGCTAAGGAAACTCGAAGGGCCATTAAGTGTGCTAATTCCAAATTACTACTTTGAACTAGAAAATACATGTGAAAGTAGGGATTCATGTAGCAAGGGACTGACTTAGCTAGAAGCACCCATCAGGCTGGCTCCTTGTGCCAGAAGACAAACCTGCAGCACAAAGGCAGCAGAGTCAAAGAAGCGCCCCCAATCCCCTCGCCTTACTAAGATGAGCAGGCAAGGCAGGAGGAAAGCCTTTTCCCACCCCTGCTGCTGGACAGGAGAGAACAGGCAGTCCCCGACTACCAACAGAGTTCTGATCCCACAACTCTATCAAACATTGGTTTCTGGCCTAAGTCGAATACATCTCATATTTTGGTTAATTTCATTTTCATTATCATTGTCTTTTTTTAGGATCAATGTTTTTAAGTTTGGTCTTTTATTACAAACAATAAAACATACAAAACAGCCCTGATGTGGACAGCTATAAGTTGGGTCCATTGTTAACTTGAATCTAGTGTCAGTAACTAGAATCTAGTGTCAGGGAACCAAGCAGCAATGAAAGAAGAAAGGCCGTTGTCTGGCTGAGGACCATGCAGCATCTACCCAAACAGTCAGACATCAAGAGGGTTGGGAGGAGAAGAAAAATATCGTCAACTTGACACTCAGCTCTCTTAAACAGCTGATACAAAGACTGTGAAATCCTACACCATTATCTAATCAAAGACTTTCTGAAAATAAATGTTGAATAAGGGCAGGAGATGCAGGAGGCAGAGATGTGCAAGAGCCATACCAGGTCTGGGGCTTCCCTCAGAGAAGGGGAAAGAGGGAGGCTTTCTGTGTGCTGGGAAATGAGAATTCAGCATTATTTCCCCCTCACCCGTTAAAGCTGTAACTGGTACTGAGAAGTCTAGAAACTACCCAGGCAACATTATGGCCACTAATCCAAGGACTTTTCTTAATCCACTCAACCCATAAAGGGGGGGTAGGGGGTGTTAAGCTGGCTTTAAAAAATAACCTCCACCCACATAAAGATGCTCATTAGAGGTTTATTTGGCAGACTGAAAACTTCAATGTCCCAACTTTTGGCAACAGCTCTGGGAGCAACAATATAGCCACAAAAGAGGGTAAAGGATAGAGTTTTGTAGAGCATAACTAACACACACAGTTTTGTATAGCATAACACGCACACAGGCTTCAAAAATTTGTGGGGGAAAATTCCCTTTTTAAAAATTCCCCCAGACTTTTTGAGGCTATGTGTGCACATGCATGTATGTGTGTTGTGTGTATGTACACACATATGCAGCGTGATTAAAACTTACTAAAAATGTAAAGATATTGGAGACAGATCACAAAATACTTGCCATGTTATAATAAATTACTTATTAGCCAAGTAAATTACTGAATATTTTAGTCTGTAGGGCTAAGGATTTTGATGCAGCAGCAGCAGCAGCAGCAGCAGCAGCAGCAGCAGCAGCAGCAGCAGCAGCAGCAGCAGCAGCAGCAGCAGCAGCAGCAGCAGCAGCAAAATCAAGATCATTCGGCGATTACCTGGTGCTAGCACAGGAGCCCGTGGTCTTTTGGCGTGTGCTCCGCCGCAAACTGGGGAGCTCAGCAGGTGGGGACTCGCTGCGCTTCTTGGTAGATTTTCTTAAACCTGCATGCAGAGGAGGCAAAGCCATGTTTTAAACAGAGACGTTTTAACGAATTAAACATCAGACAACTGTTCTGTTCCGCGGGACACAGACCATCCCTTGGTTGCTTGCTATAGTTGGACTTGACCTAGCGTTAACTCATACTAGAAAGAAAATGAACCCACCACCACTCACACTAGAAAAAAAAAGGAAATTCACTGCTATTGAGTTGACTCACACGCAGAGTGACCCTAGATAGGACTTTCAAGCCTATAAATGTTATGAGAGCAGGAAGTCTCGGCTTTCTCCCATGGAGCAGTGGTGGCTGGTGGGTTTGAACTGCTGACTTAGTGGCGAGCAACCCAATATTTAATATTTATACATAACCAAGACAAACCTCCAGGGCCACTGGGAATGTGAGAATGGTCCTGAGTACTTTTGTTAAGGATCAATCTTTAACCTTTAACTCAAAATCAGCCTTGATTCATGCTATATATCTCACCCCTTACTCTCCCAAACCAACCACCTAAAAATTTCACCCATGTCGCCATGAGTTAGAAATGACATGATGACAGTGGCAGGAACTCCATCTCAGCTCCTCCATTACTCACCCCCACCCCCCATTACTGATGTCAAGAGGGTTAGTTACTGTGGGTTGTGTGACTACATTCCATTTAGTCCTACATTTTTTATTCCTTGCCTGAGCGAGGAACATACACTTGAACTGAATAGGAATGAAAAAGAGTGTACAAATAAGGAGGCAATCAAGTACACTTTCCATATTGTTCTGGAAGCGAACAAATATCTTTATAGGGTTATTAGATTCTAAAAAGATACATACAGCAAAGCAATGTTGTCACCCAGGGGGTTACAATGGAGGCCGCCTGTAAACTTCAAGACCTCCAGGAGGCTAAGTTCTTCAAAGCTAACAGTCATGTTTTCAGGAGACCGACAGTGTCATAAATGTTGACTTACTCAGACCAATGGCACAGGGACAATCCCCCAGGTCACTTCCTGCTTTCCCCAAGAAGGTTAAGTTTTGGCCATTGCATTGTTTAAAGTACAAAGAAAGGGAAATTCTTTATTCTCTGCTGCTTGTTAAAGGCTCCAGTAGGAGTCTGGAAAAGAGGTGTTTTTATTTTTTTAAGGTAACATTCTTGGCATCATGGCTTTTTAAAACTTAAAAGCTTCAGTTCCTTCAGATTGGAATGGCCCATATTCCACCTATCATACAAATTGCTAAAGCAAAAGACAAGTTACACCGGAATCTTTAAGACACAAAATAAAAGCGTTGTAGACAAAATTTATGTTCAGGAAAACATTCTCATTTAGATATCTAAATCTTACCTACCAGGTCTTCTTTGCCAAACTATGTTTTCAGGAAAACCATGACTTAAAAACTGGGGCATAGGCAGCAACTTCAAGCGGGACAAGAAAACTAGCTTGAGTTCTTTACTTTAAATTTACTGTGAGGTTGATTTTTCTCCCTAGCAAATAACCAGAATTACTCTGCCAGCGCTAAGCTTTTCTACCTTGGCCTCCATACACACTGATGACCCAAGAGGTGACAGGCCAAGAGGAAGAGTGGATGGCATTAGCCTACTATGTCTCAGTGACTAGTATTACTCATTTTTATTTCTAAAAACACCCCAGAAAACATTAAGCCAATACTTGTCATAATATTGGGACTGTAAGACTAATGAGAACTTAAAAAATGTAGTTTGGAGACAGAACAAAACAAAACAAAATCACTAGGATTCTACGTTGTGAGAAAGCTTCTCATTTTCCCATGAGCTTTTTGAAGGCCTTTCATATTAAAATATTCTAAAAATCAAAATGCTTTTTAAAACCCGAATAAAGCACTGTAAAGACTTCTGGATTACGTCACCAACACAGTGGCTCCCGAGTCGGACCTGGGCAGGACTGCCTTCGGCAGTGCCTAGGCCTCAGCAGTGCCCCAACACGGACAAGGCGCAGTCTTTATCCAGCTCCATCAACCTCTGAGAGTAAGATCTGTTGACCTTCTGACAGGCTGCTGTCTTCCTCGGGTTTCCCTTTACTGTGGAAGGGGGCTTCAAAAGATTTGTGGGGAAATCCCACTTGTCTGAGTGCTTTCTGAAGCCTCCTTATCCTCATATGATAATTAAGCCTCTTCATACATAACCAAGACAAAGTAACAGGAGGTTATTTCCTGTGGCGTTAGATATAAAATTTGCAACATAATGTGCTATGAGCTGGTGCTTTAGTATTAAGATGCTGGTATATGCAAGGGGGTACCACCTCCCCCAAATGGAAAAAAGCTCCCCTGGGCATTTTTCACCCTAGGTGAGCACTGAGCATTATGCTTTGAGTTAGTGCACCCAAAGGTGTTGTCTGAGAAGGTTCTCTCTGGTCACAGTGAATTTTTTTCATAAAAATTATTTTGCTTGAACTTCACTTTTTTGTGATGGCCGATTTAAGAGAACAACATGTAGCTGTGAAATTTTGTTTCCTGCTCAGGAAAAATGCCGCAGAAAACTGCTGTGATGTTGAACGTGGCTTACGAGGACAAGGCTATGCGAAAAAATCAAGTGTACAAGTGGTTTTCTCATTTCAGAAACAGTGAAATATTTGATGACAAACCTAGATGTCTGTCAACTTCGCGAATGGTTGAAGAAGTTGACAAAACTTGTGTACTTGTACTTGTGCTGGAAGACTGACCATGAACCAATGAAGAGTTGGGCAAGTTATCTGGACTACCTTGGAGCTTGTAAGGGAAGACATGGGAACGAGAAGGGTCACTGCACAACTTGTGCCTCAGGTTCTGACTGACCAGGAAAAAGAGCATCAAGTGGAAACACGCCAGCTCTGTAGCGACCCAGGCATTTATCCCAGGGTCACTACTGGTGACTAGACATGGTCCGATTCTACAATGCTGAAAGCAAACATCAATCAAGCCAGTGGAAGAAGTCATCATCACCTTGTGCCCCCCAAAAGCTGGAGAAGTGAAATCAAAGATCAAGATAACGCGCATTCATTTTTTGTTTCTTTTCATGTGAGGGGGACAGTGCATTTGGGGTTCATTCCACCAGGTCAGGTTGTTAATCAAGCTTCCTATTTAGACGTTCCGAAAAGATTGCCTAACAGTGTGTGACCCCAAAAAAGGCCTGACTTGTGGCAGATGGGGAACTGGTTTTGCCACCACAACAATGCACTTACTCACGCAGCAATCTCTGTATCAGCTTTTGGCAAAAACCAGCTTGCCTCTCTCGCCCCATGCACCTCAGTCACCTGACCTCGCTCTGTGCAACTTCTTTTCGTGTCCATGAATGCAGAGGGACATGAAAGGGCAGTGATTTGATGACATAGAAGCAGTACAATTGTGTAGTTGACTGGGTTATATACTTGTAAAGCAAGGTAGTTAATGTTTGTGTGTCTGAAAAATAACAAGTCATTAGCTTAGTAGCTCCAGGTTACAGAATGAATCTGAAAGTGATTTGGTGGTGGTGGTGGTAACCCCACAAATATCCAGACTAAAATGATGGAGATGGTAAGGTGTAGCACAATTAACTTGCTTAAAGGTCTGAAGAGAGTTCAACTATTCCTGCTGTCTTAGAAGGGTTCTACTGAGTTTCTTCAGATGAACCCTTCTTTTTTGGCAAGATCTTCGGAATTTCTGTAGTTCTTCCAATATTTAATGAGAAATGTTGACAATAAATATTGACAGTTACCAACGTTCACTGTAAACAAGCTGTCTGCCATTGGGGTTAAGGTTACATGCAGCCTGTACCCCCTTTCCATTAGAGAGCTTGAATATGGAGTGTTATCCTTGAGATGACAAGTGGTGGGGGGCGGGGGGGCAGTTTGCTCTCCCAGTCTCCCATGCTAGGTTAAATGGGCGATTGTGTGTTGTGATTGATCTCAGTTTGTGAAATTAGTTATAAATAGTTCTCTTTCCACTCTGTTTTGGGTCTTCTTGCTCTACTTCTCAATATTTAACATCACGAGGTTGTTTTAGGTACATGCAAAGGATTACCACTCAACAAAGAGAAGGAATGGACTACCAAAACATGCAACAGCATGACTTCTTTCTTGAAACGTGGTGCTAGATGAAAGCAGCTTTCACCACTAAAAAGGTTACATATTGTATGATTCCCTGTATATGAGATTCTCCTGGGACGATTGATTTTACAAAACAACTTTATCACCTTCAAAGTACTCTCCACTACACTTAATACATTTGTCAAATCTGCGATTCCATTCTTAGAAATATTTTTCAAACTCATCTGTTTGGATGGTTGACAACATCTCCCTTGTTTGTTTGTTTTTAAGCACACAGGAACCTCCAATATGGTTCGGGCATAAACTGTGCTTTAGTGTTTCATTTATAAACCTTTCAAACCCTTCCTACAAAAATACAGTGGTGGTATAGAATAAAAATGTCTTTCTTTGTAATTCTACTCATCAATAGAAGAGGAGACGTGGGAAATGTAAAGCTATAATCTACTGAAAACCTATTAAAATACGTGTTCTCTTTCTCACTCCTGCCCCAGGTTTTTTAATGCACTGAAATAGCATTTACCATTTATTCCTATGATGCCAATTTTGAGAAAGAACCAGAATATTGTTGGTCAGATAACATATTCTTGTTCAAAGGCTTTATGTAATGAAGTTAGGTATGTATTTAGACTTAGTGCTCCTGCCAATGCTTTTGGCAACCTAAGGGTTTGAGAATATATGAAGCGGTTGCTACATATATAATCCCAGATTTAGTCCTGTGAGTACAAATGAAACTGGCATTGAATGCTACTCACTTAAAATCCTGATTAATGTATTATTTGTAATGTATTACAAATAATAATAAAATACTTATCATTTTAAACAAGTATTCCTAACCAGTAACTGATTTGCTCTAAGTTCAGAGCTTCATGCTCTAAATGATTAGTCCTTTTTTAATGAGGCGTGAAATAATTACTCTTCTTATTATATTATTGTCTAAGTCTGGGTTTTCTACAACTATACTTTTAAATAATGAGTGAAGGCT